TAAAGATAATTTATTCGACAAACGTAATAATGATACAGTATACAAAGTATAGATGTACATACATCGTATATAGCTTGCGAAATATTAACAATAACAGTACCATTAAAGATGTATTACATACTTCACTCCAATATAACATACGTGTGGTATGTTACATGCGCTACCACTTTAGACTTTTCTTTTTTGAAAAGACATTTTAAGAACTTAATTTTTAAGGATATATTAGGAGGAGAGGGATAGAGATATGGGAAGGAATAGGAGATTCGAAAGATGTGTAAGTGTTACAAGATAATTTTTTGGGCAAATACAATAATGATACAGTATACGTATACACTATATGGCATGCGAAAAAATAACAATAACAGTAACATTAGAGAAATATTACATATATCACTGCAATATAATACATGTGTGGTATGTTATATGCGCTACCACTTTGGATTTTTCTCTTTCCAAAAAACATTTTAAAAACTTAGTGTTTAAGGATATACTAGGAGAAGAGTGATGGAGACATAGTAAGGAATAGGAAATTCGAAAATAGAGTAGAAACGCTTGGTGGCAGCAGACAGGGAAGATGTTGTTGAAGGGGAAAAGACAAAGATTGTTAAAAAGAAAGAGTGAAGAAGAAAGATGGTTATGACTGAGGGAACAAGAGGAGAAGAAGATGCGTAAAGCGTATGCACGAAGACCAGATTATTCTGGAGGATTGTGAAAAAGAAAGAGTGAAGAAGAAAGATGGTTATGACTGAGGGAACAAGAGGAGAAGAAGATGCGTAAAGCGTATGCACGAAGACCAGATTATTCTGGAGGAGCGAGAAAAGAGACCAGTGGGAAAAGTAGGAAGTATCAGGGAGTGAAATAGGGCGAGCCCAGTGGGTTAGACGTAAGGAGCCACGCCCGCCGCCGGCGGCGGGCCCCGTTAGCCATCGATCCCCGCGCAAAATGTCTCCGACAGAGGGTGACTTTATACTAGCGGGTGCTCAATAGCACCCGCACCTATCCCAAGTGAAGTGACCCCCAAGCACAAGCACAAGTAGGACTTTACCCAAAGTCAACGGACTACCCCTCCGACCTCCCCACGGACAAATAGGATCGTCTCTACCCACACAAGTGCCCAAGGGTCAAGACATGTTGGAGCGTTTTTAGCAAAGCGGACAAATTATACTAAATACGCGAGAGCTAGACACCTGGCTAGATTCACTATACGAAAGACCATGGCCGTAGATACCCTAAGGGGGCTCAAGGCCCCCGTCGGGAGACCCATAAGGTCCTGTTGCGGCCACAACTTGGGCCACCAACCACTGAGCAAGCTCAGCGGAAGAGGCGGAAGGGCAACCCCCGACACCATGGTCTTAAGTCTAGCTGCACTAACCGGATGACTACTCTTATATGACTACTTGAATTAATATGCTCGACCCGACCAAGGAAATAGGAAAAGTAAGACAAGCACAATGTAAAGAGGGAGAGAACAGAGTGAAACGAGAAGTTATAAAGAAGATAAAATTTAAGAAGTTAAAAAATAGAAAAGTGAAGAATGGGGGGTATAAAAGTAGAGAAGAAATAAGGAAAGAGATAAATAAGAAAGTAAAGAATGAATTATAAAGAAACAAGGAAGTAAAGAAGAAATAAGTATAGGAAAAGTAAGACAAGCGCAATGGGATGTGAGAGGGAACAGAGTGAAACGAGAAATCAGAAAGGAAGATAGAAATAAAGAAGTCAAAAAGTAGAAAAGTAAGGATTAGAGTTATAAAAGTAGAGAAGAAATGAGGAAAGAGATAAGTGAGAAAGTAAATAATGAAGGATAAAGAAATAAGGAAGTAAGGAAGAAATAAATATAGAAAAGGAAGAAGGTTGGAAAAGGATAAAAGGGGTGCTTCCAAGAGACCAGTATAGGAGACCGGCTCGAGGATGAATGAGGGATCCGAGTCCGGGCACTGCCTCGAGCGTTCTCCCCACCATCCGCCTGATCCTACTCGCAGAGTCCTGCGTGACGAATTTGCGCGCACACACTTTTGGGCAATTTCTAGTATTTCTAAATATGCTTGGCCAAAAGTTCCGATTTCGAAAAGTTAATACTGATTAACTTACTTTATTTATTTCATTAATTATTTTAATGTTCCAAACACCTAATTTATTAATATTTCAATTCGAACGTAATTTATTTTCGATATTCTACATTTTCATTTCAATTTTTATCTACTCCGTATATTCTGCAAGATTTTGATTCAGCCTCAAATTTATATTTTGAATAAATTTTGAAAGTGAATCAAGATCCAATAATATTTAGTAAAGCTTTATTCAATGTTTCGAATTTTCAATATTTCTGTGCAACTAATTTTTTTCTTCTTCTACTCTCTTTCTTCTTCTTCTTATTCCTTTTTGGCTTTGTGCCCTCATAGAGAGCCAAGTGTTCTTAAGTGACGAAGCATTTTTCAAGAATTGAGGTGTTACAAAGGTATCAAGTTGGCACCGCACTTTCTTTAAAAATGTCTTAAAAATGTTTGAACAATAGGCTTTTTCACAAAAAACGCAAAAGGTAAGGTAAGGTAAGTTAAGCGCAAAGAATATACCCCTATTCAAGATTCACCGCAACGAAAACCATGGACTTAGCACCCAACTGCGCCCTTGCGAGCACCACCAGAACGTCACAAGGGATGATATTTAACACTACACCTCTGTCACTACCCGCCGAGCAAACTTAGATAATTAGGAGTAAGGAACAGAAAAGAATGGAAGAAAGAGAACAGTAAGGAGGTAAAAAAGGAAAGTAAGTAACAGTGGAAGGACACGAAGAATGAATTAAATAAAGAGAAAATAAAAGGAAGAAAAGAATTGGACAGGACAGAGAAATTCAAGAGACCAGTATACTAGGAGATTGACTCTAGAAAGAATGAGATGAGAGCTCCGAGTCTTGCTAGTACCAATAATTTGCGAGCATTATAAATTTGTCTGCAATCATTCATATACAGGATGTTTTGAATAAAAATAATTTATTTAATAATTACCACTTTCTTTACCATTTACTTCTGTAGGATAACAACTTGAAGTAATTTAATTCTATCAAGGAATGACAAAGTGTCATTATGGTGAAAAATTGGCATCGTCGGCAATGTGATTTTTGTTGTTGCGTTAATACTTATTTTTACAAACAAGTAACTGCTTGATGACTTACCAAAGATGGCTCATGAAATTTATACAAATGTTGGAAGATTTCTTGCGAATTTATTCATTTTGAAATTCGTCAATTTTACCAATCTCATACAGCAACGTGTTGCACATCTTAATAGTATTGTTGTAATAGACCATCTACAAGTATTTCAATAGGATATCCTGTGTGCAACACACATCTGCACTTTTATGAAATTCAAATGGATGCTGCACTATTTGAATTCTACTATGGATCCATAATCTGTCGCGTGGTATCTTTTCATCGTTGTAAATTTTTCAATTCAAGTTTATAATATTGTTAATGAATTGAACGTACATATATGATTTCTCATATATTTTCAGTACCATTTCTCATACGTACATATTATGTTAGATTTGTTATATAACTGCTAATGATGTCAAACTATCATCCAGTGATCATTTATATGGTAATACTTTATGAATATATCATAATGGAATTACGCAGATTCTTATACGTTTTTCATAGAGTAACGAAATGCGATTGAGTTTGTTGAATAATAAATCCCTGTTAGTTAATGACGGATTGGTAAAAATTACATTATATGTAATTAGCATTAATTGTCTGTGCTAATCCTTTTTATATTATCAACGATTTACTCTTATTTGTTTGATTTTCGGGAAATCATCCAAATATCGTTGTATTTACTTCACAAACAAATATCTTTAAACGCTATGAATTTTTTCAAAATAAATTTGCCAAGTTATCATCTGTCTCTTAATTCAGTGGATATATAAAATCCGTATATTTCTTATGACTTCAATATAAATGCACAGGATGTTTTAGTTAATATTACGAAACTGTTAAGAATTTGATACTTTAAAATACTATACGCATGGTCTCATGTTATTTGTAATCTCTCTGAAGGACCGAAGCTACGCTAACGTCCTAGAAGCCGATTGGACTTCTTATAATCTAAAGAGTATAAAATATATACCTAGGGATATATAAAGACGATGTATATAAATACCTGTACTCGTAGCACAATCGTTTTGAATTAATAAGAATAGTAAATAGATTTGATATATATCTGAGTATGATAAATAATACAATATCTTTGGTAAACCGTTAACGGCAGTGACGGTTCTCTACCAGCGAGGTGATGCAGGGGTCGCTGGATGCTGATTAACCAATGAAGGTCCGCTTTAATAAAAAAGTTGCAAACTTTTAATTCTCTACAACCAAGAACACTATAACAAACAGCATCCACGCTACTTACCTCCAGGCGATCAATGGCGTCAAACGTTCCGTCAATCTTTGGTAATTACGTTCCAGTTCTTTTTGATAGTCTCGCTGATCTGGTCCAATGAGATTCTTGTTTCTACGCAGAGCATCCAAACATTTTTTCGAAAAATCTTTAAAACAGAGTCTGAGCTTATGCTGGAGTCTTGAAGGCTCTGCATTTTGTTCACGAAGTCCAGACAGGAAGACTACAGCAACCTCGGCTGGACCTTGGTTGACAGTAGTTCCTATGCATCCTTGCAAGACCATCTGGAGCATCTTTGCATCAGGTGGTTCCTGAGCAGTTGCTGCAGCGACCTGGAAAGCAATAATTTTTTACAATTTTCTAACAGCCATTAGGAATAAACAGAGATATAGCGTAATAATGTATCTATACCTCAGCAGTCTTCTTCTGAATATCCTCAATGGCCACTTCAATGGGACTAAGGACTATCTGCTTCCTGGCCACCACGCGTATCCTGGTCTTTAAGTACGGAAAGTGTGTAGCTACTGTTAAAATAGTTTTGCGTTTGCATTGTTCCCTTAATTCTCCGTGAGCTTTCCCACCGGGAGTGAAAGGAGTTGCGTATACGAAACGTTCTGTAATTAATGAAAAAAAAAGAAAGACAATTAAAAATGATTAAGACTATAAACACTGGATAGAAGGTAAAATAATACATACTGATATTAAAATTCCTATGGAACACCGTAGGCCTGTGTCTGAGCTCATGTGGTTCAAAATACGGTTCCACGTATGTTATCTGCACGTATGCTTTATCAGGCTCTAATTTGCTAGGATCCACTGGATTGGAATCTTTAATTATAACAACATTCTCAGAACCAAATCGTTCCGCGTAGAAGTTCTCCAGCCTCGAGAAAATTTCTGGTAGCTTTGTCAAAGTAGGTTCCTTGTATACGAATTCCTCTCCACCTAAGTCGCCAAATCGTGCCCCATAAAAGCCGACTCTAAAGTAAGTGCCAAAGACTCGTTTACCGGCAAGCTGTTCGACCCTCGTGTATGCTTCGTGGAGTTTTCTAATATGAATATACGAATGAAAACAGAGTACAAAGTATGAAAAAATTGAAATATGAAAAAAAAAATATAAACAGTTTAGTTAAACGAACCCGTGGATATTGGCGAGCTTCTTGTAATCGTGAGCAGCTTCTGCGATTGGCAACAGTACTCTGTACACGTCAGTAATGGCCTCGTACATTCCAGCTGCGTGAAAAGAGCTGGCAGCATGTTCTAAGAGACCAGCTAATCCACTTTCAGAAAAATCAGGACCTAGACAGAGTCCCTCTTCTCGCCTAGCCAATACGTCGTCCCCGACGGCACTTTCCTCCAGAGCGTTTGGGGTTACAGGACTGAGAGCAACAGCTCCTACAGGACGTCCACCACCACCAGGTTCCAAAAGATGTAAATACTCAGCAACGAGAGCAGCACTGTGCACCAAACACATTGCTGCTTCCGTGTGATTTTTCCTTTCCATGTGCTGCTGAGCCATGTTGGCTAACCAAGTTAACCTGAGATCGGGAGAGCCTTGGTAACCCTTAGCAATTCTGTACATTAGGTCCAGCAGCATTTCTGGGTCTTCTTGGAACTCTTTCATCTTCACAGTATCAGACAGTATCATGTGCAGATTGAAGAGAAGATCCTTCACTTGTTCCGGGAAGCTTGTATCTGCAAGCTCGGTATCCCTCTCAGCATAGACCAGAACGGTTTTCAGGGCCCTACGTAAAGCACCTTCACTAGGAGCTCTTCCTCTGCCGACGAGAGCTGACAAGGAAGTTGTCACTTGCATCTTCACCCTGGCAAAGTTGTTGCCTATTTCAAAGTTTTGCCTCATAAGCAGATAGAGACTGGCTGCTGCGTGACTTCGAACTGCACTTAGCGGTGAACTGCAGCGTGTGAGTAAAGTCAAGCAGAGATCTCCGCACCTCTCACTCTCTTCATCAAAGAGGGCGCTATGGTATTTGAAGACCAAAGCTCGTTGGGTGTTAAACATATGCTGGAGTACCGAGGTACTTTGGTTCCTGGCCAAAGCTCTAAGCAGCACCTTTAATACAGCGCCCACGACAGCACCACCACCTCCGTCAGCTTGAACAACGGACTCCAAAGTATCCAGGACGACGAGGGAGGCCTCCGCCGCCAGAGCACCTTCTATGTGTGCATCTTGTTCCACTGCTCTACCTTCAGGCTGTTCACTTGGTCTGTAAGGCATCTGATCCTTGCGCCATCTTAATTTGTCGCCACTGGCTCGTTCCTTTCTGCGCAACATCATCTCGCTTCTAGCACTTCCTTGACCCAAGATAACGTCTTCCAATCTGGAACGTATGTCGCTGGTTGCTGCTGCCTGTGGTGGTAGTCTCTTCAACGCTTTCTTTCCCTTGTATTCAAAGGCAGCTGTTGCGATATTCAAAACCTGTAAAAGACTTAACACCCTCCTGGCGCTTAGCTCTGAACACCACTGGGCAAGAGCTGATCGTTCCAGTCCTTTCAGGATCCAAAGTACACACATAAGCAAGTGTCTTGTCGCATCAGAACTTAGAGACACACGACACTGTGTTCCTGCTACTTCTGTAGAAGCTCCTCCTGCTATGGCTAGAGCTACCGATTGCATGATGGATCCTGACTCGTCCAAGTAGACGCTCTTGTCCTTAGAGTCCCAATGATAGAGTTGAGGTAGAGCATCCATCAAGATATTTAGCAGAGGAAGATATAATGCTGCTACTCTGGCTTTTGCTGATGGATCAGAATATCTTGGATCCACGTCATGTGATCCCATGAGATATCGAATAGTTCCTATGGCTTTATTCTGAAGCATGGGGTTAGGTATTTCTAAAGTATTTGCAAGATCCGAGAGTACCAAACCCACTAGGAAATGTTGCTGACGAAATTCTTGACTGAGTTCAGAAAATCTTGCTCGCTCACCTGGTACCAAAGTAGAAATAAGACTTCCTGAACTTCCAGTTGAAGGACTAGGTGAGGCTGGGGCAGATCCTGACGTATATCCAGTTCCAAAGGGAAGATTCAGTGCCACGTAATGCTCGTGAGAACAGACCGTGCGTACCAGGTCCAGTTTCATGGCGAAGAGGGCTGCAGAATCAGGAACATGCATCGATGCCTCCGATAAGGAACAACAAGTTGCGCGAAGCAAGGATAACACAAATCCTCTATCCATTACTGATAATAAATCTGATAAGAAATTTCCCAAGCTGGATATTAAATTCGATGCCGTTCTGCTATCTTTGCCGCAACGCGCGATTACTTCGGTAGTCAAAGCAGCAGCAAGCGTTGCCACGTCGTCCAAGAATTGTGGGGAGAACCTTAACTTCCTGGGAGACTCCAGAGCGCCTAACTCCGACAAGGTGACTACCATGGAACGGAAAATTAATTCTAGGAAAAACCAAGAATGTGTTATAGCTAATTCTCTAGCCTGTCCCGTTGAGACTACCCAGTGCAGCGCTAATTCCTCGTGGAGGAGTCTTCTACTCGCTTGACTATTATTGATGGCCGGGGATTCCTGGCGCATCGATGCAGTCCTGTCCAATCCTCTTGAATGCACTTCCATTTCGAGATCTTCGACGGGGAGATCAGGATTACTCTGTGCGCGTATCACGCCAGGACACGACGATAACGTTGGTAAGGAACATTGATAAGCTGTGTACGTCGCCAGGAGTGCGTGTCTTCCATGAGCATCCAATTGACCATCAGGAAGGTTTGTCACGTTTCTCACCAGCAATCCTAAAGCCTCAAAAACCGTTGCTGCTATATTCAGTGGCTGGGACGGAAGTGTTGGTGGTCGCACCAGCAGAGAGACCAGTTGATCCAGCAACTGTGGTAGCGACCTGACTAGAGCTGAGTGCGAGGCTCTCGCTAATTCTAGAAGTGCTGATTTCAATTCCGATTCCATTCCTGCTTCTCCAATTCGTGGTGGTACCTGCCCGGTTTCCAAAGAACCGCACAATGAGAGAAATCGATCAATGTATTTATCTTGAGGATGGACACTGGATACCGGTTCCAGAATGAGAGTGAAGACTCCACGGTGCGCATCCACCCATCTAGTTCCTGGTAGAAGAACATCCGGAGCTATATAAGAGTAATTTGCTGGTGGTGGATCCAGCATTGCTGGTAAACTATATTCTCCAGATTGAAGATGACCATCGCGCAAAAGCGGAAGCCACGTGTAAGCTACTGCAGTTTCTACATTTGGTTGTTCTGCCTTTTTTTGGCAACTAATGTGGTAGAAGGTGAAGAGTAAATGATGCTTCGCGCTAAGATCAGCCGGTAGTCTGATCTTGACTTCGTCGTAGAAATTGGGATTCTTGTTATGATATGAAACGGACGTGAAGGCTTCGTGTGTCATTTCCGGACAGGAGGATCTTCCAAAAATGGCTGTAAGAGCGTCCGCTTCTTGTTCTCCACCCATCAGTTGAATGCGTACGGCTATATTACGCGCTGAGCCTGTCCGTGAACTGAAATTGGCTTCTTTTGGATAAATGTATAGCAAATTCCGATAGGTCAAATCTGGCGAGAGAACTTCACTTGGAAATTCAAGAATTTCTTTTACTGGGCGACTCTTCTCGTCCGGATATGGCGTCAGTCTTCTCAGATCTGGATCCAGACATCTAGGTAGCTCTTCCGGCCGGGGACTCAGGTCCAGCTTGAGAATTCCAGGCAGGCACTTTAAACGCTTCAAATTCGAACCTGGTCTTCTCAACTCCACAAGCAACTTGTAAAGATCTTCGTCGCGAAGACGTTCACTTTCTTGTTTGAAAAAACTGGAAACTGTCAGTGTAATTGGCCGGAAGCTATCTAAGCAATTGGCAAAATCATCTGGTGACCAACTGCGCCTCTTGTCGGAGCTTCGTCTCTCTAGAGATCCTCTTCTTGTCGGTGGTTCAACTTTCTTGCGCCATTGTTCTAATCCTCCAGACTTCCGATCCAGAGATCCTGCACTTCCGGTACTATCAGTATCACCTCCGCCACCAATGACTCCAGAAAGGTGAATGGCAGTCCATGCCAGCGGCATTCTGTACCTACCCAAACGTTCACATGCTGCAGCAGCTGCTGCTCTTACCTTTTCTTTATTCTTATCATCGCGAAGATAAGGTTCTGCACATTCAGAAATATCACCTTGCAAAACTTTTTCAAGTCTAACAACCAAGAAAATATCCGGACTGGGTTTACTGATACTCATTACACAACTTCTTGCTAGGGTACTAGCATCGCTGTAAGCAATGTGCCCACCCAACATCCGCTTTAAACCCTCCGGATTCATGTCCACGTAGAAGTTTTCTGAAACCTTTTTCTTTTCTTTTGCATCGTACAAAGCAAGACTAGCAAATATAGGTTCGACTTCTAATTCGAGTTTTAGTTGAAGACACTTAACGAGGATTTTATGAGAAAAAGGTTCGGATGGTTCTGGAACTACATTGATCTCTTGCCATTCATCATCCGGTGACGTAGGTGGCGCGTAGAGGGGAAACAAGGCTTCTTGACGGTCCTCTAAACGTTTTTGTTCATTCATCTGATCAATAGTTTCTGGACAAACACGATCCAGTAGCCCGGGAAGTAGTGGATCGTGTTGTGAATGACGAAGATCCAAACTAGCCCAGGAGCCTCTGGGTGTGTCACCGCAGTTGGATAAATCTTCTTCCTCATTTGGTGAACCTGTACCATTTATATCTTCTTGGTCTACTTCAAAATCTTGTCGTGGTGTATCTTGCAGCAGTCTATCTCTAGCAATCGGAGAGGCCCTTCCCTTAAATTTTCTATATACAATAACCCAATCTGATGTGAAACTTTCAATGCACCTTCTGACATACGGTGATACAGTATCCCTGAAAATGTTAAACGGATTAATCAATGTTTCTAGATGATTCAGTGCTAGTCAATCAACTTACAATGATTCATATGGTACAATTGGTTCCTCAGTACGGATCTTCCTTTTAACAACTCGTAATTCAACATCACCCAAAGGGAAGTCCAGGATTGGCCTTAGAGGATCACGGTCCAGAACTGTTTGATGCTGACCCAGAAAATCCTCATAATCGAGTGGCTCTAATATCTCGCAGAGAGACATCTGAAAAACAAAAAATAAGAAACCTCTTGCTTCTATTATATTCAGAAGTATTCTGTGGATAAAATAAAATATTACAGTGGAGGAAAATCCTGAAATACTGCTACCACTCTTCGACAGATCTCTAGAATAAGATGTTGACGATGCTATCTGTCGTCTCACATCAGCTGCATGCTGTTTGCTCAATTTATGAGCAAATGCACGCTGTACTGAAGACATACTGCCGACTCTAATCCACGTTATCTGTATTTATACCCTATAAACCATATAACTTATTTTAAACCAATTAAACATTTGTATTCATTAATGGGTAAAGAATAATATGAACAAATATTGAAGAGTACAAGAAAAAACATAGTTCTACAATACCTATGCAGGCACAGATTAATAACTGATACCTAATACAAAAGTATTAACATGGTATAATTAAGAATATTAAGGATTTTACAAGAATATAAAGTCAACTAAATTTTGACAGGCTCTGGGTGGTGGCAACCAGAACTGCAAGGGAATGAAACTGTCAAATAATACTAAAAGATAGCTGGTACTATAATAAAATAGCTACTTATGTTTTCTCACATTTATACAAGAATTCAAATATTTGCAACTTAACAAAAATAATACAAATACATGAAAAAAATACTGTAACGCCAATTTTTTTAGACAACTAGACGCATCAATGAGATGGCGTGTCGTGTACTGTCGTGTATTGTCGGCTGCGTCGGCTGCAGCCGAGTGTCTCGCCTCACAGAAAATAATAGGTAGTGAATTGAATCCAAATGATTTTATTTATAATGTTTTTTTTTTGATTTTATAATATTCTCCTCTTTTTTCTTATACATCGTAATGTCATTTTGGAAACGGTCGCCTAAATACATGTAATAGTATAATAACCAGCAATATGTAACTCCTATTGCACAATACATGGAAGTAAAAGCTAATGGTAAGAATGGTAATCTATCAGTAAATATTAACTTGTGAAGTACTGATTCATAGAATGTAACAAAGGGAAGTATTCCTACATATAACCATTCATATTTTTTAAGTAAACTATTATGGAATTTATGTGTTAATATTATTCCTGCTAACATCATATACACTAATGAGAGTAATAATTTCAATGGAGTTAATTCTGTTGGATAAAGTAAAGGTAATAAGCCAGTGTGACCTGCAGAGCTTAAGATTATAAATACTCTTGCATCTTGTTTATCCACAACTGCTAGGGTACTGAAATAAAATATTTCTGATGTGACATATTCAGTTAAGACATACAAAACACATTATAATATGGATTTACCATAAAGGTAGAATTGCAGTAAGAATAGCTTTCTCATGAACGTGCCATCCAAACATAAAGGAACTCAGTCCACACAATATTAGACATCGTACAAAATGTTTTGGAGTTATTTTAGCCTCGTTCTTAGTAAATAAAGACCATAAGGCTGGCTAAAAATAATTTTAATTATTTGGTATCAAAAAGAAAAATAAATTCCCTACAGTCATACTATTTTGTTCTTACAATCATCGAAGCAAATGTTACAACAAATGTAACAATAGGTGTAGGTGTTGGTAAAACAGTAAAGATATCTTCCTGAACTAAACCACCAGTCATAGAAGCTGTTCTGGTTGCTTGTAACCAACCAAGCTGTTTCCAAAGTACAGATAGAAACTTATCAGCTCCTGTATATAAGGCCCAGGCATTCGCAGCCCAATAGGCATGAACTAGTCCTCTCTTGAACGGGAATAAGCGTGAGAAGACCTAGAATTAAATGTTGATGAAAATGCAAGTCAAGATTATAAATATTTTGGAAATCACCTGTGGTAATTGAGAAACAAAAGGGCCAAAGGATAAGATCAGAACAATTAAAACAATGCTTCCTAGCTTCAATATCCTGCTGAAAAATTTGCCACCTTTTATGCAATACCATCTTAGTAACCATATAACATAAGCTGGTGCTACATATATGTAAATGTGTTTCAAGTTGAGCAACATAGAAAACCATACTGCTCCTTGTAAAATAGAACTCTGTAAAAAAAATTTTAATTATTTCTTACTTTAATAATTATGTATAATAAATTATTTACCTCCTTATCCACTTCTGCTACCTTAGTTATAGACAACAATAATATACCTAATAAGAAACCATTATACTGAAAATGTATATGGTCTACTATAAGAAGGCCTACATTAAATATTGAGAGAAAACTTAGAATTAAGTAGCTGCTTCTAGATTTGCAGAAGGTTTCACCTATTCTGAAAAAGAAAACTTATATTAATACATATTTATTTTTAAATTGATTTTGTCACTGGCATATAGATAGATTGACTTACTTTATTACACCATAAACTAATATTATATCAGCTATCATCACTGTAGCCCTTTGAAACAATTTAGCATTAGGTGAAGTATAGTTTAAATTATCAATTTTGAGCATCTCTGGATCAAAATAGACTGCTACCTGACTAAGAAAGTATTCGAACCATGCAAAGAAAGGTGGATAGTCTAGAGTCCACTGCGATTTGTTCGAAAGATACCATTCTTTTATAGGCAAGCTAAATGTTATGGCAAGCCAGTTACGATGCACCTCAAAATCAGTGGAATGACTGAAAACACCAGTGTAAGACTTTTACAGAGTTAACTGAACAAACTATGTTATCTACTATAAAGTTGACATACTATGTAGGAATAAGAAGCATTTTGAAACACGTAGCAAGAATAAAAATTCGCAACAACGTTGCATCAAACCACGATTTTCGTATTTCATCCTTATGAAAATTGTCATTTTTATAATCTTTTACAATTTCCATTTTCATACGTGGCACATTCCCCTGACGATCTTAAACTAGTACAACTCTTTTTTGAGGTTATACCAAGAAGCCGGCTGAGAATATCAATAATAAATTAATTCAAGAATTTATCACAGATGGCCACAAATTCACCTTGCGTCATCTATACGCTACATCCTGTAACAAGATATAAGATTAATTTACCTATTAAAGGTACAGCAAAAATATGTGGGTTCCAAAGCTTCCCCAGAAATATGGAACAAATGAAATAAATATATTAAATTTCATGCGATATCATGCAACTTTAGCTAGTCTTAATAGAATGGAGAATGTATCATTTATGTTTTGCTAAACTGGAACGTCTGATTACACGACTTTATTGACGGTACAGTGGGGTACAAGAAAAATGTAATAGCGTAATGCAATAGTCGTTAATTCCAAAGAAAAATACATTAGCTGGAGACAAATCATCTGTGAAAATCACATTTTGCAGTATCGATTTAAGGGCACATACAATAATTTCACATTGGTGTACACAATACAACGCAAGCAAACACGGAAAGCCTGCGGTGTAAACGACAAACTATTGAAAGTGAGAGATTCAAGATTTCTGGAAAAAAAGTTTTTAAAAATTCACTCCTTTAATCAAATCGGCAACTAAAATACGTAGAACGTACAGTCGCTTCGTTCGCACTCGCATTTCTTGCTAAGGAATTTTATATAGCGTGTAATAATCTAATCTAAGTGTATTGTGTAAACTTGATTACGTGAGAGTAGTTATAAATACTAATTTATCACATCTTCGTGAAAATAAATTAATATCGTCGTAATGAATAGTCTTGGTGACGCTAAGTGATCCATCATTTAAAATAAAACTGACGCAACACGAGTCGATCAGTTTTCAGGTGTAGAACGATCGCGTCCACGGGAACCTATATAATGTAGATATTTAATTATATATGTATGTTATGTACGTAGTACTTGTAGTAATTACGTTGTTTAATTTGCGCGAAAAACGCGAATTACGGACATGCCGACATGTCAACGCTCGCAAGAACCCCGAGAGTCTTTATAAAATTGGACCAAAAGGTTTCATAAGATTTACCTGAGGGACACAATATCCTTAAGGGACACCATTTTGTTAGTCGAGCTTCAAGGACTATGAAAATTTGGCAGTTTTCAATGAAAAATCAGAGTCTTTTGTCTTGGCTTATGACGTATGTAGTAGTACGTCGCATCAGTCAGTGTGATCCATGATAATATAGATCACAGTCACTTAAAATTATCCCTAAATTAAATACAATTAATAAAAAAAAACAAGAACAATATGAGATTAATAAAATTAATAATAAAGCTGGTACAAAATACTCGTAAAAAAGTTACTTTTGAAAATTTGTCTGTCAATACCCGCAGACGCGATCAGATTTTTTTTGTTTAATCAGTAAAATCGCATATCAAAAGGTCACGCGAGGTTTAAAAAAGACATAGCGACGTTTCCACCCGCGAAGAGGAACCTGTCGACGTTTTGTCTTTCGCCTGTTTATAATCTCAAGCAAACTAATCGTCAAGACTTAAGAATATGTTTATTCTAAAGCAGAGAAGTCAAGGATCGAGAAATTTTCGCAAGCCGTGACTTCCCCAGCGTGCACAGAATGGAAAAGGAATGGGACGACAGACAGACGGCTCAATTTTTTTTATCTTCATCAATATCGTCAAACTGCCTTCAATGCTTCCCCTACCTTCTCCATTCATACCTTACAAGAATATATATTTATATATATTGATATAATATGCACTGTCGATTCTAATTTTCTTCTCTCTTTAGCTAAACTTCGCTTTTCCAATGTTCGCTTCTTCCTTTCGTAAGCATTCGCGCTTGCGCAGACTCCTCTGCAGATCCATCATTACCGTTTCATTATCATTCCCATCTAACTCCACGCAATATATTACAATTTGATTCACATTTATACATATACATATTATCATTTTACTTTGCGGCACACGTACATAATTCTTTCTTTGTTTTAATCTCTGCTTCACTTTTTAATCTAATATACTTATTATTATTCTAAGTGTTTTTGTTTTTATGTTTGTGTATGTGTGCGTGTGTGTCTGTCGTTTGAATATTTATTAACGAGTATCTCCACAGATGGTGGCTGTGTGTGAGTATGCTCCGCCACGAAGGTAGGATACACATATCAAGCTACTTAAGTAGTTTAAGGTATTTAAGAGACTTTGTATTTTTATGAGCCGCGCTTCGTCCGTTGACTAACAAAGAAAAAAGAGCTCAAAGTGAGTCTTGTTTAAATGCGATCTTGTAGTGCGATGTAATTTATGCCCAAGGATGATCTACTCCACCTTCGCGTAATTGGGTACGATATTCTTCTTAATCCAAAAATCGCAGTTGGGATAATCCGTTTCCGGTAGGATATCCTGGTCTACGATAAGAACCCTCTTAGCACCCTTTGGATCCTCTTGAGCCACTTCTCCATGCCAGACGTAATGATTGAAGAGTTGCTGCATCGCCGACACGTGTCTTTTCTCTTCAGGTGTTCTGGCTGCGTAGGATCCCAGTATGGCGGCAGCGTCGCTGTCAGGATCTGCCAACTCTCCTCTTGGTTGAGTGACAACGTAGAAGGGAATATGTTCCTGCTGTCTAGCAACAGTCAGCAAAGGACAGATCACTCTGATGTCGGAGATCAGACTAAGAAGACCCTTCTTCGTAGCATTGTAACGCCTGTTAATAAAGTTATTCGTTGTTGAGTATTTTAAAATGTTTAAAGAAATTCAAAATGGAGTTCGGAAATTAATTTTACCTAAGTGCTTCATCAGCAAGTCCTATGGTACCCAGGAGCGACTCCCGGATGACTTCTTCGACCTGATGCTTCTCCAGAGTGACGTTTGGATTCATATACCTCGCAGGTATAGCGGATTGAGCTGTGGTCCCAATGACGAGCTTGACAGGGAGTCCATCTCTGGCCCAGATCTGTCCTACATGTTCCTGGAGAATGACGCCATCGAGAACAAGCCATTCGTGAGTCCCGTTCGCCATGTATTCGCGTGGTTCAGGTAGACCAGGAGTTCCATGTTGCCAAGATTCCGGAACAGCATCCATGAGGTCTTCGCTGTTTTGCTTCCTGAGACACGAGGCGTCGCTGCAGTGTAAGGAATTAAGGTAAGCTTTGTTCAGCTCCTCGGACTCCTTGAGAGATCTTCCTGGAAATATGGCACTGCCGCTAGAGACCCATGCCCTGGAGAAAAGACCTTTAGCTTTCCTGGCACCGACAAGAGTAGTAACGAGAGTACCGCCAGCCCTGTGTCCCCAGAGCGTAACGGACTTCTTGTCTCCGCCAAAGTGATCAATATTCAGCTGCACCCATTCGAGTGCCGCAATGATATCAGACAGTCCATAGTTGCCAGACGTAGGAGGATGAGTGGATCTGGAGAGCGGTTCCACGGCCAGGAAGCCAAAGACGCCGAGCCTGAAGTTTGGCCTGACGAAAACCATGTCGCGAACTCTGGCGAGCTTTGCAGATGGCTGCATGACTCCGGGCGATGCGCCAGTCAAGGTTTCGGCGCCTATCATCACGACTACTGGTAAAGGAGAATCGTATTTCACATGAGGAGTGAAGACGTCGAGGAAGAGACAGTCCTCGACTCCGTCAACGCGTCCTGATGTTTCTCGCTGCCAGCACATCTCTGACGAATTGTGAGCCAAGTAAGTTCCTTCCCAGCAGTGCTCGATCCTTCTCAATGGCTGAGCAGGTCGCCAGCGTTCTTGATTCACCGGTGGCACAGCATAAGGGATACCGCGAAATGCAAATCCACCGTCCTCGAGGACACCCTCGACTGGGCCACACGAGGTGATGGTCTCAATGTACTTTCCATCCTTGAGCTGCTGAGAAACGTTCCTCCTTGGACCGACGCAAGCGACGCAGATGATGATGATCACGGCCAGAAGAATGCAGAGGGTAGCCACTGAAGAATCAACGAAACGGAAGAGACGTAGAAAAATAAATAACAAGTGAATCCTGTCAAGAGATATTATACAAAGTTGAATAATCACTGACCGACGACGAAGAGATTTCTCCTGGCAGCCGATAAACATACAACCAGAGGATGCTGTTTGCTCGGAGCAGCGTCATCGGTAGCGTCTCCATCAAGCCTGACGGTTTCCATTCCGTCATCAGCGCCAGCTGCGCTCTTCTCGACTCCAGTATCGTCCGGAGTCTCGACGCTGGCCAAACCAACAGCCCCTGTAGTACCCAGCTCGGCGTCTCCTTCCTGAAATTCAAGAACCCCACGTTATCTCACACTTTTAAAATAAGAACCACCTCAGGATCCCTCAATGTCATCGAACCTGAGGAAAGAAACCAGGACCAACAAAACTACTGATATAGATCTTCTGCTTGCCCATCACAACACCAAACTACACATCTAGGTGGTCAAGGAAGTACTGACTCGTTATTGAAAGCGTCTAGCCAAAAAATTCTGCCACTTTCGAGATTACATCTTAGGGTCGATAGCAGCCGACTGGAGTCATCGTCGAGGAACAATGTAACGCGAGGAAGCACCTTGCAGCACGAGCTGCCAACAAGAACTGAAGACAATGCTCCAGAGTATTCTAGCTGTTTGAAGTCTTCAAAGTGCACCTTAATGCAGACATGTAACGAAGCTTTATGTGCGTCAACTATGTATGCACTAAGTTACTGCAGTCTGAAGTTAGTCACACTATTGTCAAGGTGTAACAAGAACTACCTCCTGGTTAGTGCATTACTACCGAGGAAGCCTGAGAATCCGTGCGCTATCTTAATGAGTAGCCCAGGTACTGCATAGCATAGGAAAAGGTGCACGGTGTAAGATAAATTGTATAAGGTGTGAACGAGGATAGAAGAGGGAAAGAAAGGATAGAGAGAAGAAGAAGAAAGAAAAAAGATCGAAGCTAAAGGAGAGTGAGGGACCAAGTGGGATGAACGTGACCGAGAGCCAAAAGAGGGATTCTAGTAAGGCTTCGTGAGGGAACCTGTGGGTAAATTTAGGGGTGAGTCCGCCAAAACCACAGAGTTCTTGGGTTCGATTTCGCAACCCTCCTCAGGATCGCTCGATGAAGTTCAAAGTTGCTCCCTACCTTGTTCTTCTTCCTGGGAAAAACAGAGACCAGAGGAAGCCTGATGGCGTCGAGAATTCCCTTGCGACCCTCTTTTTCCTTCTCCTTGGTATCCTTCGAAGGTGTGCTTGGCTTCTCTGTTCCAGGATTCTCAGCGTCCTTGTTCACTGCAGTGGGTTCAACCTCAGCAACCTCAGCAGGCTTAGCCTCGTCATCCTGTCGACAGTACAGATTCACGACCTCAGTGTCATTTTAGATCAAGCGGACGTCATTCCTCGTCGAGTCCCAGACGACGATGCCTGAATATGCTTCAAGTTTAACAAAGAGGAATCAAAGGGTCAAAGTTCGCGCAGATGCACAGCTCGTCTACAAGTAGTCTAATGATCCTTCCTTTCAAAAGCTACTAACGTGGATTTTATTTTTAGACCGAGCGTTGAACTTAAAACCCAGACCTTGGACTTGAAACGCATTCTCCAATGAATAACAAAGTCTTCGCCGGCGATAAATTCTGAACTTTCAAACCGGAACTGCATACTCGTCTAAACATACATTAACAGGTATACCGAAAAAATGTCCACGTCGTTCACAGCCCATTTGGCTCTGGCATTAATCAAAATTTCATAGAACCCTTTTTCAAATAGAGATCCTCCAGACTCTGTGAGATTCAAAAATTCTCAAGTGCGTCCTCGTGGGACTTATCGTCAGACGGGACTTTCAGGCGGAAGACATGTGGCTCGCACGCGTGCAGCTATCCAGTCCTGTGAGTACGCAGCAATGAGGCCCCGTAGCAACACATGGCTCGTATGAAGACCAACTATATTTAGAGAAGTGCATTTCGAGTAGTGTCGCGTGTCCATTGCGCGTGGCTGTCTAACCGAAGAGGGAACTACCACGTATCAGTCATAGATATTCGACAAGTAGTCTAGCAAGAGGACAGAGACGCGATGCCAAGGACCGTTCAAAATTTCTTCACCGTCATCAATTGGTTACAATGAAAAAAGGTATCGAGAGGAAGCAATCGTGAACTACTGACGAGAGTATCGTTTGTAAGAGCAAGAGACATGGGAGAAAAAAGCAAAACGTGAAAGGAAAGAGAATACAACGTTTTCTGCGTAGTCAGCGACGCGGCGGATGAGTCAGGCACGGCAGGTAGAGAACGAGCGGAAACAAGGGTGGCTACGGAGGAAAAATATAATTTTCCGCTCTGTCGATTGCGACGTGTCGTCAACGGCGAAGAACCGTTCACGATCCCGGATAAATATTTTTTTGTCGAATTCCAGGAATATTTACCAAACGCTTTTGCTACTGGATGGAACAATTGATACATCCAGTTTCAAGGCGACGCTGGACACCGTGACGAGAACCACAGAGGGTCCAGGAAGCGAAAGGACGAACGGAAAGGAACGTTATACTATACGTCCGGTTTTCGAGTAGCGTACGTTCCGTTCTACGTGGTTTGACGTTGTACATCCTTGCACATAAATTTGGAGAACGAGGACCAAAATTTTGAACGTTACCGGTATCAAATTATGTATTTCTCGTATCTGTTTGGTGCGACTTCCAGGAGGAAATTCCAAGAGGATACGTGGGAGTCTGGATAACGATGCCACGGAAAAACTGGAGCAACAATGCGAAAACATGTAGCGATAAAAGAGCGAGACGATTTATATACAGGGTTATTCAGAACTATTGCACCACCTCAAGACGGGGTTCTGTTCATTTGATTTCAATTAATTCGTATATTTAGGTGGTTCGGTATTTCTAAATCACCCTGTATATGGATATATCAGTGTAATCAGAGCCTCGCAACTGATATGTAGATCCTGCCATGTTTGACGACTACCCATCGTTCTAATCGCTGAACAAATATTTTCTCACTCTAATAGAGTAGCAATTGTTTGGCTGAGGCAAAGATCGTTTCTGCAACCCTAAGCAGGGAGTGGTGAAAACGTCAAAAATTAAGTGTACCTTAATGGAGTGAGAGAGTTCCAGTCCTTTTCCATAAATCGTAGCCATGTTTGTTCTCGAGTGAATGACGCTTTCGAATGGAACCATTGAAAAGGGAAGAAGGCATTAGGGGGGGGGGATCGGTACTTGCACACTCGCTCCTGTCGAATCATTCTTTTCAGGAAGCTTCGACGAGGTTCTATTAAGAAGTGAGAGATGTAGAAAGCCAGCACGGGTTGTAAGCCAAGTGGCACCGAGTGGTTACAGGGTGACGGAAAGTAAGTGGATTCTGGAACAGTGCTGCCCCCGAGGGGTTAGCGGCCTTTGAAGGACTTACCCGTACACCAATCGATATCAGACACAACTTTCATCCCTTACCCCTTACGAGCTACCCTGGCAGCCCTTTTCCATCCCCTTCCCATCCAACTTTCACACCGGTGTCAGCCGTTTCGTAACAAGCCGTGTCTGAAGTAGCTAACTCGTGTCGCGGTAGAGTGCCCGAAGCTTCCTAAAAGCTCAAGACTTAAAAGATGGACACCTCGTAAGTCTTTACTCCGCCGAGACCCTAGAAGCTGTTATCTCTTTCCCTTAAAACCCAAACAACGTATCACAGTTCCAACCGCTAAATAATGCACGGTTACTTTTCAGGTGGAAGTAGCCGGGGCTGTTTTCATAGTCTCAATTGGCAGAGACCAGACGGAAGGAAAAAATGAATAGATTTTTCGCGAGAAGAGACTTTATGAAAATATACGAGAAATTGAAAAGACCTGCAAAGATGGAAAAAGTACCAGTGAAAAATCTACCTGAATAATACATGAATACTGGAAAGACCGAGATGAAGCTGCACTCTGGGGAGTCTCGTTGGCTTGGCAGTTCATAATTAAATCTTCAGGATATTGCACCCGAGAGCGGATGCATTTTATAGATTGCGATTGAAGTCTGTCTATTGACCTTGCTATCTTGTTCACGTACGTAACGAGCGTGTTCGGGATATGTGCGCGTGGAACGTGTATAGCATTGATAGGGCGAAAGGGATAAAAAAGGACGGTGGGTACCAGAGAATAAAATCCTTTGTTCCAGCTGTACGCACCGTGTGCAGTATAAAGCGTCAATTACTTATGATTTCCATCTGTCCCTTTGACGTAATCTAGCAATAGGCTGTGACAGCCAGTCGATCCATATGAAATTTTAGAAAATGAATCTTCCGGAATCCCTGGGTGCCTAGACTGAGCCAGCTGTGGACAGAGCAAATGTCACATCCGGTGCCACAACTTCGTCTATCTTGCAGGATCGAAAACGGTAGTTAGAGGTAAGGACAAAGAAAGGGGATATTCTACATACAGGGGAGAGAGGGGATCGCAGGGCAGAAGGTATTACCCAACACTAAACCCCGTCGAGAGGAGCAAAGATTTATTTTATAAAGCACCGAGTGGCTGGAGATTCCATTGTGGGGAGTCGGCTATATTGACTTTAGTTGGTATTAGGGATTATTCTTTGGTTCCAAAGTGTTATCTGCGCCTTTGGACTAGGGGATGCTGTTTCGGGGCCTAGAAGGCATCCCTTAACGCACTTCATCAACTTTGGGGGTTTTAATCAAAATTTTACAAGATCCTTCCACGTATTCAGTGCAAATAACTATTTGACTTTGTTGACTTATTTATATTTCGAATTTACTCCTTCGAAGTGCGCATGAGAAAAGGATATGGTACGTGTGTATGTGTAAGCGCGCTTCCCCTTAATTCCCCCTTCCGGACTACCCGACGCGAAGGTTCCAGTTATTCTGGTTCTCGGCTTCGGGTTCGACCCCCCCGTCGCACTCCCTCGAAAAAAGCAGATCCACCAAGCAAAAAGGCGAGAGACTGCGAAGCTACGCAGCATCCAAGAGGGAGCCCCCTTCGACTCAGACAGATTCAAAGGTAGATGCTGTCGAAAACTTGGATAATCTTGTTAAACAAAAATTTTTATTTTTCCAGCTTCCCAAATTACCCAGGAACTCGTAACAAGCTTCGAGAAGATACAAAGGACCGAGCTTCTCTACGGTCTACGGATGAGAGTTAGATTATCGCGTTGCTGTCTACCTGCTAATTAACAGGCAGTTAAGAGACAGGTGCTAGTGCATTGAACCCGATATACCTGTATTAAGGTATCCATCGTTCACAGCGAACCCGATCAAATAGGCCTTTTGGGGTCTTCGATTTTAACGGTTTCCTATACCGACCGTGAGTGCAAGAGAGACAGAGCGAGCAGCACTTACGTGCATAAGACAGAGACGAACATAGCGAAGCAGAAAAATGTATAGATCGGACCCCCTTTCGAATTGCACCAAATGTACCTTTGTCTTGGGTATATGAAACTACAAGTGGCTTTGCTTTTTCATTGTAAAAGTCCGAAAATACCTAGCAAGGCTTTTTATACGGTAACGAGAGTTAAAAAAAAAAGGACTAGAAAATTTAATAGGACAAGTGGTTCCATTCTAAGCCAGAACCTAAATGACATTGGGCAACCGTGGGAACGCACCTGGTTTAGGGTACACTGTTCGACCAATAATGTCCACCATAATTGTCCATATTTTATTTCTTCAGCACGCGAACCCCCCTTTTTCCCCGTAGCTGGTTACTTAGGTACGCACAGCCGGGGGGCAAGTGTACCGACCCCCTAGTAGTTTTTTCCCAGACAATACAGAATGTTGATAACGGGCGTGCGTATCAAGCGGAGCAGAGAAACCGGGTCATTCGTCATCGACAATGGGCAGACTTTTAGAATCCGTAAGAGAAGTTTAAACGCCTTTTTTTTAATCTTCTACTCTTCTTCTTCTTCACATTTTTTTTTAATCTCCTACCCACTTCGCTACGCTTACCTTTCTCATTGAGCCGTGGCTTTGCGGTCGAAGCTGAGTCTACACAAAACGGCTCCGTGACTCAAGACCATGCAGTTTATTTATAGAGACCATATTAGACCAGGTCCAGAGTACACAGCTTCCGTATACTGGAGAATGGAAAAATTTACGACCATGCCCGTAAACAGATAACAAAGAATTACAACCAAAGGAAAAAAAAAATCCAACCATAAATGCACTAAACATAATTTACGAGGGGCAGTTATAAGGGATGAAAAATAATTTTTTTTTATGTCGAACATGGTACCCCCTAGGTGTCGGCCGTTATGGCTAACCAGCCCTCAATTATTATTCCGCGTCCCTACTATTTTTCTTTCCCTTAATCGTTCTCCGCTGCTTACATCTATCTACGCACGAGGCAACGTTTGACCAGGAGCAGATGGTTCCTATGGTTCTACCCCTAATGTTTGACTGACACGGCATAGTACGAGGTGTTCACCCGCGCGTGAACATCACACCCTTGCAACCGAAACAACCCCCGTAAAACCAAACCGCACTAGCTTGGATCGCGATTACCAAAAGTTCAATCAAGGGGGGGGGGGGTGTACCGCACTTCTCATAGTAGGTTTCTATGAAAGTCGATGGCACCCTATCACACGTCAGTGACAACTTCAATGGAGTATTAGTGATGGGGGTGTCGGAGGGGGCGAAGAGGGGGGTAGACATTGGACATTAGATGCATCATGCAGACTAGAGTGATGTAATGGATAGCAATGACAGGGTGACGCATCGCTCAACAACTTAAAGGTGGTATTTGCCACCACTTTCTTTCCCCATTAACCGCGATAATAAGACGAATAAAGCCAATTAAATAAATTACTCGGGTGCAACGACTTAAAGTTCTAGGAGAAAACGCTAAGCGGCACTTTTCATAGGACTTCGTGAAGTTGCACGCGATAACGAGGACTCGGTCGAAGTGGCCAGCGGGAGCACGAACTCTTGTAATTAAGGCTTTATTAAATTATTAAAGAGACAGTCGGCAAAACATTCGAGCATTCGGCGCTTACGTGAAGTAGATAAATGCTTGTATCGTTAACCACGTTATCCATGTATTTTTCACATACCCACTTCACTGTTCGAACACTTTTACAGTACTGCGGAGCCACTTTGGGTTTGTACGTTTAGATATTTATATTTGAAAAAGCAACAATTTTCTCAGCGCGAAGTTGATGGATCGAATAGTCGTTCAACGAGATTACGAATATGTTGAGTTGAATGATGATTGACAAGAGACAAACAGACTGGAGTATAACCAAGTGCAGTTTCACGATAGCAAACGAATGTCCGGCAAGTGCACAGCTGAGGAAGTGTAAAGTACGCTTATGGTAAGTGGCAAACGTGAAGCGACGTTAACGAACGTCTGTTTGTATGCTAATGTCGCTATGACTACGGAAGCGGAGGAGCTCGCACGGAACGACGATCGGGGGTTCGTTTAATTTCATGGACAAAAATTAAAATGAAGGTAAAATAAATAACCCCATGGCTTGCCCGATCCCCTCCGCCGCGATGCATTATCCCATTATCGTGGGAGAGAGGTTCGAGGGTAGTTCCGAAGTCCCCAGGCCTGTTCTAAAAACACGCACTAATGACGTCAAGCAAATCGCTGGTGCACCTGCGATCGATGGGGTATTGCAAAAAGAAAGAAAAAAAAGGGCTAAATAAAGTAAAATAAAAATAGCCGGCAAGGAGAGCGCGCGCGATAACGAATCGATATCGAGTAAGTTTGTACTTTTTATTTTTTGCACGCGATAAACCGCGGCGAAGTGTATGAGAAAATTTTATCATCACTGACCTTGCACGGCTCCTTGCTCTTGGTCCTACAGAATCCTGGCATCTTTATACCGCCAATGGGTATCTTCTTCTTGGGCTTCTGCTCCTCGGACTCGAGATCGGATGCTGGGGCTGCACCGATGTGTTTCGTGTTCTCCTCGTTTAGCATCTTCTCTCTCTCTTCCTCTGCAATCTCCTTCTTGTCCATACTTTTGTCCTGGTCCTGATCCGTCTGCTGGCTCATGGTCCACGCTGCAACAGAGAGTCAGCATGAAAAATCATATATCACACGTGTGGTCGCGGTGCATTTTTTTTTTGTATTTTGAAATTCTTCACGATTTCGTAGCCGCCTTCGAATAGCATAGCTAGACGTAAAAATAAGATGAGAATGCAGGCTGCGCCTTAGAGGGGTATGACCTTCCGATATGAATGCACAGCGTGCATCTACGGATGCAGCATGGCTCTGCTTGTCATGGCGCTAACGTCACGTCCTAATATATTATTTTCACTCGTTTGAACGCCGTGGTCCCAGCCATACGAATTCCACGACGAGTATTCTTGGTGCTCCGGATCTTTATTTTCTCCTTTTCTTCCTCCTTTTGTCCTCCGTCTGACATTCTCTCATTTTCCCTGGGACCAGCTTTTTTTCTGACTTCACTCGGCTCCCTGCTATTAAGAACGCTCCGAAGAACGTCTCGAGACGAATGAAACTTTTTTACCGAATGAACCATCATTCCCGGCCAAGTTTCCCGTGAATGCTACAGAAAAGACAGAGAGAGAGAGAGAGAGAGAGAGAGAGAGGGGGAGAGAGAGAGAGAGAGAGAGAGAGAAACTGAAAGAGACAAAAAGAGGAAATCATTCCAATTTATCAGACTCGTCGTGCATCCGAAAATTCACACGCTCAGCATCTCTCAGGTCGTCCCAAATATCTTTAAGTTTTCTTCCCATTATTTACTTTGCCCTAAAAAATCTTCAGAAGCAAAAGGTAGGACGTCGCATTTTTAAGATATGCTATCAAACGTGCCTTATAAGCGTTCGCCAACTTGTCTCTCCTTCTCGATGAGTCCCAACCCTTAGTCTGCCTCGTCAAAGGGATGCATTATTAATCCAAACGGGTGGCGCCCTAGTCTGCTACTTTATTGATAGAGGGTATTCCCAGTCCCAGGATAGTCTGGTCCGGATGACGTTTGATCTAGGAAACTACATGGAATGGTCTGTACCATAAATAAAATGAATTAAGAGGACAGTTAAATTATGAGAGAGCCCAATAGCATATCAGAGAATAAGGTTATATGATTCTCCGAGAGACACCCGGTACATAGCAGAGAAACTAGAAACACATACTGGCCACCTTCGGCACCTTATGGCGTTACGAATCTTTTTCCACTCCGTACCAGAGGCGTGCCCGTACTATCTCCTAGTGAGATCGTACCACGTCCGAAGAGCATCTGGTACCCCGGTGTCGACTTTTCCCTTCTAACTGGAGCGTCCCGAATACAGGATCCTACTGACGAGCTGACCAAGAGTATTGTCTCTTTTTATTTTCTCATTTTGTTTCCCTTTCCCTTCCCCTCTGCCCCGTTCATCCACCGCTGAAAGGCGGATCCCCGCTCCGAGCTTCCTGGAAGGCCCTGTAGCTCCCACCTGGCCTTCGATCAAAGCAGGTTAGCCTTTATTTTTTTTAAAGTTAGCTACGAGCTCAGGACCTCCTTACTTTCTAATGATACCCAAAGGATTCCGTGCAGGAGAAGCAAATTACACCCTTGGTCATCCTATCTTCAGACAGGAGCAACTTGAAGGCAGGATACAGCAGGGAAGCAGTGTCCAGGAGCAACAGGAAGTCGGTGCTATCCCTTGAACAAGGGTGGTCGTGTTTGACCAGCAGAAAATATAAAGCTAATCATTCAGGCGATCAAGGACACATTCCAGTCAAGCTTCGACGCGCCTGGATGCTGTGAGGGGCTGGGATAAACGAATCATCTACTTTCCCAGTTAGATTAATTGACATTACCGGAAAGATTTATACGTCCCTCCCTGCGACATAGAAAACCTATACGTTTCACGAGGATTTACAAGGGAAAGAACCCCTCTCCAAGCCTTGTCTAGGCGTCCGATCGGAATAAGGGATGAAAAAATTGCATATACTTGCTGAAACGTCACGACGTGAAAATCCGTTGAAATTTATTTATCCACAATTCGTAGTACCAAATCCTATGGTATAATTAACGGGCAAGTAACTCGAATCAAAATTCGATAATCTTTCATACGTTTGATTGTCACGTGCGTGTCTAGAGCCTCGCGGCAGATGCCAGACACGTGTTCCACGCCTCTAGCATGGGGTGAGCCTACACCCCGGTCACCCTTACGTCAATGTCTACATAATGCGATAGTCGAACAATGTATAGCAACTAATGTATACGTAGTTCCAAAGTCCCTGTGTGCATTAGCATTGTCAGCCATTGTTCAATGGCGATTATGGCCACTTCGCTTCGCTTCAGCGAGAACCGAACGGAACGACCAGTTCCGGATATTCCCTAGAAGCGGACGAAAAGCCGATCGGGAGAAACTATGGGAACTAGTGACACCAAGCGGTAACAGTGGTAACTGTCAATTTTTTAATCTTAGTCAAATTTTAATTAAATGCTTATTTTTTTTTTGTCAGACCGATTCTCAACCTACCCTTGTATACGGCCAAGTCCCCTAGATCAACCCTGCCAGACGACTGTTTATTTTTCAAAGCCTAACAAGCAGTTGGGATATGGTATAGCTTTAAAGTTTAAGGGTTGAGGCGAGCCGGAAATTGGTAGTTAGGCAGACTGTGCTTACGACAAAATGTAAGGATAAAGTTTCAAGCAATAAAGTTTAGTGGGGGTATAGATGGAATGCGTACAAGTGATACCATAAGCGGACGTATCAAATACGATTATATTTACAACATGAAAGGAGAATCATAAGAGTCTCGTAGCAGCCGGATACGTAGCACTTCGTTGCTGATGTTTATTTACGGAGAGTATTTGTGAGAGTAGCGAAGCGACACGACCTCTTCAGTGAATGAAGTTGGACTGGGTGCGAAGGAAGGAACGGAAGAACCAGACAGAAATAAGTCTATGTGCATCTGTCTCAGATGATGATACTACGAGAGATGGTGGAGAGACTAGCCGAGTAATCTGTAAGCATCGAGATAATTGGAGAAAGGACTTTTGCAAAGTAGAAAATAATAAGAAAAAAAGGAGTAGAAGGAGTGGCGTATAAATTTCGATAAAGGTAGATGTAGATATCTCAGGAAACGGGAGACCTTCGTGTTCTCTTTGTTCGGCTTGGCGTGGTTGCCGTCGCTCTCATGAAAGCTATACGAAAAAAGCTCAAAGCGGTAGTTGGGCACACGCGATATGCATTGTACGAGTACGCAGTGCCCGGTTGTTCTGTTATACCTATTGAGTTTCCGGTACGGAGCAGTGAGAGGAAGAGAGACAGAGTGAGAGAGAAGATGGAGGGGTGGACGCGATCGATCCGTTTATGTCTGGGCGTCCCAGCGTCGAGCGTCATTTACAAATCGCGTCGTCTTCGTTTTTCACGTTAGTTTGGTTAGTTGGAGGAATTACTCGACTGCAGTGTCTCGTTACACCCGTCAGATGCTAAAACTTTAGGAGGATCCTTGAGAAATAGAAAAAGGAAAAATAAAATGTATAGCTGCGGCCCTTCTATTTTTGTTCAGGGCTACCACTGCGCGGGCCGACCTTCTTCGATCCCAACGTACCGACGACCCTCGGCGCAAAACCCCAGGCCTGTAAAATTCCCAAAAGCCCGCTCGAAGAACCGTTAGTCGAAAAAAGGTCGAAAGGTCTCTCTAGCTGTCACGCAATGCCGTTTGTTCAATGATTTTGATTTGTTCCCGCCTTCTTATCCTGAACAGCCCTTCCCCTCTTACGCCCCTTCAACGCTACTACCTCCGGACCCTGCTGTAAAAAGGCTTTTACAGTCACCACACTCTACTGGGATCGCCTGAGTATTCTTAAGGCGCATTTTCACAAAAGAGGCCCGCAGGTATAAGCAGTCTTCGATTCTCTATTGAAATAATTGCTCGAGTTCTTTTTTTTTTAATTTACGCCGAATTTGAGAAGATACCGCGTAATAGGAGGTGCTTGATAGAATAAAGAAAATTCAAATTTGACCGCGGTGCATCGACTCGACAAGATGACGCGCCATTGTGAATTCTTAAATGAGGATATAGTAATGCGTGCTAAAGAAGACGCCAGACGCAGACGATAAGGTTATTAAGAAAGTGACATCATTTAATGTGACGCCCAGATTGGCTATATCATTTCAGTGAAGAGTGAGCTACGAACTATATTCCACGCTTTACAACAATTTATATTATGAAACACCTTTCAATCTTCAAGTGCGTTGTAATTACAGTATTTACGAAGAGTCGAAGAAAGCACGCAAATCCGAGCTCAGGGAATATTCGGAATTCGCGTCTGGAGTCTCAGGATCCAAACGAGAAGAATCTCTATTGCATTTATTCCAAAAAGATAGAAAGGAGGTTGCTTCGATATCACGAAATATTCGCACGAACGGAAAGCCAAGCCTCTGTCCGCTTTCTGCTCAAACGAGTCGTTTTTATTCGAGCACATAGCTTTCCTTTCTTTATATACTTGATAATAAAATTGCAATAACGCATAATCATTAAATTCCCTCTCAGACAACAAATCAGGATATAACAATCGCCTGAGCGCTCTTTTTATAAACGAATATGAAATCAGAAATATAACTCCTGCACTTCATGTCTAACAAGTACGTAAATAAAATTAAAAAAGAAATATTTACCCCTCCTTTGTAATCAAGATACAATGTGTCGGAGTTCCGTCTATTCCAGAAAGTCCACTGAATCCCACGCAGATGATTACACTCTCGTCACAAAACACTACACTTTTTCACTGATTTTACGTTACAGGACGTGTTACCGCGTTAAAATTCTTTCAAGGGACACTAACTGCAGCTGAATAAGAATAAACGTAGCGCGTTGACCGGCTGCAGCCCAACGTTAAAGTGATGCGCGAGAGGTAGAACGCGCGACTGACTATAGCGCGCTGCAAAATCCCTTAACCAGCGTTAACACTTGGAACTTTGTAATAAGAGGAGTTGATCGGTTGGTAGTTGGTACCGTCGTTGGAAACGAGACAGCAGCGCTACGGAAAAAAATGACAAGAATTAATGTGGTTGCTAGCTATCGGTGTAGGGGGTTGTATGGTTAGCGGTGCCTCCAAGGAATAATAATAAATAATCCGTACAACAGAGGACAGCACCGTTCGGGCATAGGTATCTTGAATGTCGGAGGAACCAGCGCCCATCCCGCAACAGTGACTCTCAACTTCTTCTTTTAGAATGCACTGTGCACTGACATGACAACAAGTAATTGTTTTTATTGACAGACTGATAATGTGAAGTAATTGATCAGTGATTATTTACGAGCGGGTGTGTAATTTTATGGTAAGTACGTCAAAATCGAATTCTGATTGAATCCTGATTGGAGAAGCAGAGTTTTCAGTCAGTAAAGATTGCATTTTTCCAATCGAACTTTCCCTGGCTGGTGCAGGTTATGTGAGTTCACGGTTCGTCCAGTTTCCTGTTAGAAAAGGTGCTTCTCAGGATGGGCCAGGGCACGGAAACTTGCGCTGACCGACCAACCGAAGTCAGCGTCATTAGATTTGTCTCTAGGAATCGAACCATAGAGGAAATTGCTCCGAAAAAGGTATGGCCTATCCCACCATGGTCTGGTTCAATGACCTCTAAGACAAAACAAATCACGTTACAGTTTTCCCATCTTCAAAGGGAAGGCTTGATCATTAATTATATTTTTCATCCAGTTTAATTCATTTAATGGAACTCCTAAATTTTGATCCTTTTTTTTTAATAGGAAGTTTATACGTGTAAGCAACGCGGTTGTGGTAAAATCTTTACTAATCAGGATGAGTATAAGAATCACGAAGCTTTGGAAGCCTTGAAGATCAGATTTATGTAAGTTCAGTAATTGTCATGGAGATTAGGACTGGAGTTAATGACTTTTTTTTCATATAGATGCCGCGAACCAGGATGCGGTGAGGAATTATCTGACCCAGGAAGTATGTGGCGTCACTATCAGGAATGGCATAATAATGAGACAAACGTATTCTCGTGTCCGTATACAAGCTGCAGATCTGTTCATCCAACTAGCGATAGTCTGGAGGAACATATTGAGACTTGTCACAGACAGCCCCCGACGCTACCGACGGAACCAGAGATCATCTGCTTCGAAGGATCGGAGAGCGTGATCGATGAAGAAACTGGTAGGAATGAAGATGACAATTATTATGAAGCCGACAAAGATAGCCATAACCGTTCTCCTACCGATAACGATACGGGCTCGCGAAATAACGAATTTCAAGGAAAAAAGGATAATTTCTCAGCAACGTCCGAAGATCATTCCAGCCACATAGCAACGTCCAAGAAATCAAACGGTAAGAGTCATCAAAGCGATGACTTTATGCACGACAGAAAGAAATTCACTGCCAGTCCAAAAAGTGATGATTATATTAAGAGCAATGACAACAGATCAATTGGAAAATATCGACAAAGCGATGATCTCCATTTAACTAAAGAGAGTTCAGGGATAAAGTACGAAGAACGTGCTTCAAAAAGCACTAACAGCAATTCGATTCTACAGACTGAGAATTCTCAGGAGTCAAGTAACGTTGTGTTTATAAATGACGAAGTAACTATCACGAAAAATCTTAAGAACGATGGCGGAAGTCAAAGTCAGCAAGGTCAAGAGCACAGAATAGATTTGGGAAACTTAGAGAGTGTCTTCAGGAGTGGCTTTGAGCGAGATTCACCGAAAATAGAAGATGGCGGCTTGGATACAAACAGTAATTGCTCCGACGACGAGGAATATACGCCGAAGAAACAGAGGATGTCACGTCACAAACAGGAGCCGTATAAGTGCGACGTTAATGGCTGTGGCAAGATGTACAAATACATATCTCATTATCGTCATCATCAGGACAGTCACAAATTAGTGACAACTGCCATAAACTCAAATCCTGCCAAACAGACGAAAGCAAAGCAAGGAAAAGCCTCAACTGTCAGCTTCTTCCTGTAAGCAATATCGACAATTAAATACAATAACTGAATGACTTTTTGTCAAACGCTAACGACCTATTATCATTAGATGCAAGATGCCTGGCTGTGGCGCTGAAGTGAATAACGTAACTGGCCTATGGAAGCACTATCAGGACAATCACGCCAATTCGAAACCACCCCAAGGTCATGCTGCCAAGGGCAATGAAATATTTAGGTAGCAATTGAACTCCTATCAATGAATTTTATCAGATCGATGTACAGTGACTGAGTCGATTGGTGGCGATTAACGATCATACCATTGAAAAAATGATAGTTAACCTTCGAATTACCTTAATGCCTGCACTCATGAGGGAATTCAATAACGGAATATTCTGTCCCCCTTAAAACCCTACAACTTCTGTCCGAAACGTATTTTTTATATCTGAAAAAAATCGACTTGGTCACTAGAAATGCCCCACACTGTATATAATAAAAATGCTCAACCTTGCAGATGCAAAGTACCCGGATGCGATATGGAGTTTGGTACAACATTGATGTTGTACAAACATTTCAACGAGATACACATGAACGGTTCAACTGGCAATTCAAGCACAAACGCAAAGACTGGTAACGGGAGTAGCAATCAGTTTGCCGATCAAATGTTCCAGGATGACGCTACCGCCCAACAAGGAAACTTTAAGACTGACTTCGAAGCCAACAATAAGACTAACGCGAATGATTACGTTGAGAGTGATGACGAAGACGTATCTTTAACAACCGTCAAGAAAGAATCTCGAGATTGATTCTTGTTCAGTTAGATCCAAATTTTGTCGCCGATTACAAAGCGTCGCGACGTCGACTCAGTGTGTTTAGCAGAGACATTCTGCCCTCTATTGTTTCTTCTTTTATTCTTGATTGTCTTCTTCTTCTTCTTCTTCTTCCAGATACTCGGGTCTAGTTCCTTGAGTAGGAACAATTATCAGTCTTATTCTTGATTGACCTTACCTAATCTCTTCTCGTTTTGGTCCTCTGCAAACTTTGTTCAGTCAACTTCGTCTTGATGTCATGTTATATACTCAAGACTTCCCCTGCGTCACTTTATTTATTTCTTTTTTTGTTAATAATTACGATTTAGTTTATTTATTATAATTCGAAATGGTTAACTACCTGCAATATATACATAGAAAAAATAATTTTTCTTTTGATACGCCTATTATAGTTATACTCGCCAGTGATTCGATGCATTGATTGAATATCTACAGCAGGGTATATTGTGGAATGTGAAATGTTTTAATTATAATTGCAAGTCTATGATAAGGAGACGCAAGAAAGGATCAACGAGAAACTAAGCAAACGTCAAATTATCAGAATATTTTTCTCAGGTTGCTAAACTCGTCTGATGCGTTTTGAGAAAAATATCTCATGCATGCAATGCAATTTTCCGTGACATTTTTTCATGATAAAATACAGAATTCCTCTAATGTGAATTCTTAGTGAATGATCTTTACAGAGACTTTGCGGATGGATATAGTGTATTGAAAAATCCTCTGCTAAATACTCTGGTTTTAATGCGTAAACATAGTTAATATTTAAGTCAATTTAATTAAACTGCTTGGCAGACAATTCGAGATCCGAAATTCTCTCTAGGATTTACGAACATCTGAATGCAATTAAAAGACTGACATTGAGGTTTCGACAATGTTCGGCTGAGATTCGGTCTCCTTTGGCAGAAAGCGAGTTTCACGGTCTTGTTGAGATCTAAAAACAAGTCCGTCATAGTCATCTCAACTATAATACAAGACTTCTGACTTTCCGTACTGATTTTTACTATTTTATATTATTGTATCGTTTTGATGTAACTTGTATTATCTATATTATCGTAGTGACTTGTAATGATAGGAATTCTCGAACTATGAGTATTGTATAGCATTTTTATTTCTATGACTATACGTTCGAAAATAAAGGTGCAATAGTAGAAGGAAATTCCTACGACTTTGTCATTATTCAGTTATTGATATTCACAATTAAACAATTGTATATATTAATTGTACGATTGATCTTGACAATTTCAAGCAATGTCCTATGACTACGCGACTACCTGGGTATATCGTTGAATTAAAATAAATAGACTCGATTCATTCATATGATTTTAATTCGTGTTGGTCTAGATGTGATGGAAACTCAAAAAATTAATTTATCGACGGAAATGTTAATATTACATAAAGTACCGAGAGATGGCGCCACAGCACAACAATAAATTCCAACTACAATTTCAACTAAACTTTTTTTAAATATTGATTTTTCGAACTTACCAGGTAGTTGTAAGCGCACCTGTACGTCAAGTGGAGTAGTATAAGCAAACTCCGAGGGACCTGCTATCTTTGAAGGCGCAGTAAGAAAAGCTATTAACAATCTAGTGTTCCCTACCGCTCGCATCATTTACGCGCATTTACCATGAATTAGTATTGATATCAATTAATATTCTAGTACTTAAGTCGTCTGAGGGGATACAACCAGAATTACAAAAATTTGACCAAAGATCGAGAGAGAAAGAAGAAAAAGTAGATGAACAAATAAAGATTCAATCTTGGACGAGAGATGACAAAAAAAATAAAGAAGTAATGACTGAATCGCAACACATGGACACAATGCAAGAAAATTGGATGGAAGAATGAAAGGATCCGACGTCCTGAAGTTTGATATAGGAGATTGGCTCTCGGAAGATTGAAGTCCACGGCGAATCATTCTTATGCGTATCAGCCGGTAGCCCCTTCCACTTCAGTACCGAACGACAAGTGCTGCCCTCCTGCGACAAATCTTATACTCAAATTATTACATGCTTTGAATTCATATGAATCCGACTACAGCTTTGTAAAATTGACGTAATTACTTATTTCATGCAAGTAGCTAATTCTAGAATGGTATGTTTGTTGGGAATGCCTAGTTTACTTAATTTCTGTTAACAACAGTCAGATTCGTCTTTATCGACTGTAGCTAATGCTGGCTTATATAAAATAGAAGTTTCCCGTAGCAATACCTCCTGGCTGGCTTCTATTATGCTTATACTGTATTTCTCTTAGGTGCACCAGGAGCGTATCTGCTAAACTTTGATCCACGGTTCGAAGTAATGTCTAATGCGATACAGGAGCACGCCTTGCTTATCATGTTGATTCATGGAACAAGTGTACACTTCGACTTATCAGTACGTCATTATCCTCGGCAAAATCCTAATGTAAGAATACGATAAATCTGTTCCTGACCTGTGTATAATATATAAAAAAAAGATATAATTTTCCAAAAAATTGTTATAAACATAAATTCCAAATTATTATACGCACCAAATTTAAATCTGTTGTAATATTTTCTTTACCCCGTCCCCCATGTCATTCGTTGAAGCTCGATAGGCGAAGAGTTAGATTGTTGAAGAATTTCGAAAAATTAAGAAAAAGAAAATTTTCATGTAAATGGAGGCACCTCATAAGCCAAGGTACGAGGTTGTTACGAAGCGGGCGCATATTCTTGGTGGAAAGAGATCGAAGCTGCGCAGGAATCGGACAGAGAGAGAAGACGAGAGAGAGCGTGGGTGAGATAGACTGAGAAGAAACGTGAGCCTAGAATGTCGAGCGGGTGAGGAGCGGAGTGGTGGAGAGAAGAGCGGTCGAAGCGGAATGGAATGGAAAGGCACGGCAGGCAGGCAGACAGGCAGGCAAGGCAAAGCGGTTTAGCTGGCCTGGCCGAGCGTGCATGGTGGAGTCAACGAAGGCGACGTTGGCACAGAAATCATGAAAGTGCGCCAGTACGCTAAGTGCTCCTCCGAAATGAAAGCGCGCTCTTAATACAAACCATTTTCGAGCTATTAATTTACGAGACGTGCCCGCGAATCTTGCCCCGGATATAATAAAAATCATACAGCTCATTCCGTTGGTCGTGCGCGTCGTTCACATCCTGTATCCTCTTCGTCATCCATCCTGAGTGCAATCTGCTTCTTCGGCCTCAGTTGCCACTGGATATGGCTGGTGCTCGTCGTCGTCGACATTCGTGCGTAAAGGAGTCTAATAGTGAGACAGAAAGAGCCGCAAGGCTCTCGTGATACCAATTAGTGATCTAGTGATCTAGTGATCTTTAGATCTTTATAAAAAGTGATCTTTACTATCTGTGAGACCAAGTGTCATTCTCCTCTCTATCGTCCTTCCACTTCTTCCTCGTGTTCCCTTACGTCTTCCAACTCACTCGTGTCCACCTTTGATATTTTTTCACGTCGTCCTGAAACCGCGAAAAATGTTTGTCTCGAGGAATTCACATCGTCTTGAAGCATCAACAAAGATTCTATATGGATTGCTACTGCTACTCCTTGTCCAGGTGAGTGGTGACCCTAGAAGACTCCTCGAGATCGGAATAGATGCAAAGCAGAGACGCGAGAAAAGGAATATTTATAACGTCAAGAGTAGCACGATTGGTCTGTACTAGCAGGTGAAATCACGTTTGACTAAATCGAATTCAGGAGGGCGAGGGGTACGGAAACGGTATTCACGCACCTGAACACTCAGAGAAACCCAAACGAACCTAACGGACCTCCAATGTATACTCAGTCCTTTCTGTACGACTTATTCGAACTCTCGTTGCGAAATCGTTTGCTTTCCCGTATGTACAATTCTCATTTCATATTCATTACCTACGAAGAAATAGAGGGAGAGAGTAAGAGGGCGAGAGTAGAGAGGTCACAGTTCTTATACGACCCTCGTATTACATAGTGAATCTGTAAAATTTCCCATCGTTCGCTCCTGCCCTCTTCACCCTACATAAGAATTACAAGGAATAGAGTCAACAGGCAGCCAACGGGCGTCGACCGTGAATTTTTCACATCTGTGACACGAATACCTATTGCGAAACTTTCTAGTTCCCCGAAGAAGAAAGCGCTCGGCTTGCTTGGCCACTCCAAGCACTTCGCTCGCTGTACGTTCACAAATTGGCACTAGACCTGAGCCATGTATTCCAAGTACGTTTGAAAAATTACAAAATGTCTGACAAGCGCGCTAATACAAATCTTGATGGGAATACCATCAAGACCGATTTAATCAGTCGCAAGAAATAACTCTAGTGGGTCAAGAGGAAATTAGAAAATTGATACGAGGGATAGTAACGTTCGCTCATATTTGAACAGGGAGCTACACAGTAGCGGCATGGCAAACTATAAATACAGTCCACGTGCCTCTCTGGCTCGACACGCCGGATCGAATCGAGTATACAACAACGCTATCAGGTGACTGTAAGCCAAATTTATCCCAATGCGAAACCAGAGTATCGTCCTGGTGAACGTTTGGATAAAGAACGACTCGCCTGATCGATTCTATTGTAGCACTTGTTCCACGAGTGTAATCCGCTCAAGACCAAATCGGCCAGGTCTTGTCCGGATGACCATGCGAAGCCACTGAAAATTCCCAGGGACAACAACACGACCGTTCGATATACCGGGTGATCTATATAGAAATTAAGTAGCTGCCGCCCGTGGAGACCCAATTCCGAGAATGAATCACAGCCCAGTACATCGAACGCTCATTCGATTTATCGCAGTTGTCGTCGTTAGGCTATCGCCTGCGCTCAGCTTTGTATTTCGCAGTATTTTTTAATAACGTTAAATCGTTAACACTCAGGAACGTGAAAGACGCTTGTATAATGGTAATGCGAATAGGTTTGTAAATAGGAATAGGAATCCTGAGCTGGGCGTCGCTAAGCTTCGACCCAGAATGTGAGCGGTACGTGAGCACATGGGTCGCTTGTTGATCGAATAAACTTTTTCCTGATTTTATTTTGAGCTCCAGTTCGATTCGAAATATTTATCAAAGATTTTGAACGATCGTTGATAAATTTTTTTGTTGGAAATTCACAATTATTAAATTTCTAATATACCAATTGACCTGATTCATTAGCCTCTAGCGCTTTCAACCTTTCTGACAATTTCTAGCTGTAGTCAGCGTCAAGACGCCAGACGCATCTCGTGCTGGTTTGACTTGACGTCATTGACTAAAAACAAAAACCAGGCGAGACACATGCACCAGAAGGATCACACGTGCTAAATATAAGTCACTTGTGTTTTCGAGTCCATTTCTTTATCTTGAACCCGGGAATTTCTCATGTTTAACATATCCGTTATCATTCTCCTTTCATTATACTTCAACATATTTTAGACATCCTCCTTACACATCCGTAATCACCACATGATGATCCGTTAACGTTATTGCTGTACTACGTGAAAATGTCAGCTACCGATGACTGTAGTTGGTTTTACGATAATTCGAATCATCGACCGGCATGATTTGAGATTGGAGAATGAACGAGAAACCAGTAGAAGTACCGTTCACTACGAATCATAGCTATTTAGACAGACAGACGGTCAACGGCTTAGAGAGCTGTCTCTACACTTGCCAATCTAGCCTATTCCTTTCAAGCAATCTATCGAAAGCTATTGTACCAATGGCAGTTGGTCATTACCAACTATTGCTATCGCCGAGAATGGAAAGTCGACGCAGGGTATTGTATAAGGAAATTATCGTCTTTTTTTTTTTAGTAAAAATCATACAAAAGTCTTTGGGCACCTGTTACAATTCCTGAACCTTCTAGAATTATTTAAAGAGTTATTTACAAGTACGTCGTAGCTATCAGCCTATTGGTCTACCTGTTGTGAACTAGGATTATCTAACATCTAAACGCTGTATGGTCCACCGCGCTAGTAATGATTTAAGCATTCGAGCGAGAGAAGTTACGCAAAGAAACGAGATGCTAATCGACCATGAGGATCTCGCAAACAGGAAATTTACAGGAAAGAATTTCAAGAGAATTTATATATCTGTATATTCAATTACCCGTATATACAGCAGGGTGAGGCTCATGCGTTAGCATTAATATATTTGTAATTATTATCAGAGAAGTCACGCGCTTCATCAGCTAATTGCTAATGTCAGAATTAATGACAGAAAAATTATCTACAAACAATATCCCACTCGCGTCTCTCGTTTCGCTTTTGGATATAAATTCTAATTATTTATTTCTACTAAAAATGTCTACGCACGTTAATTATTAAGCAGCTATCAGTTTTTTTCTCTTTACTTAATTCGCTTATTAACCAGTTGAATATCCAGCTGAAGCGATAAGCAACTGTTTAAAAAAAAATCGATTCCTAAGCAACGTTAATCACTCATGGAGATGACTTACTGAGATACTATAAGCAACTCGAGTTCGTTGCGCGAGACAAAAATGTGACGAGGGTGGGTTGCAAGAGGAGTCGAAGGACCAGCGGAAGAGGGTGGATCGATCGAATTCTTAATTCCAACCAGTAAGCTATAGGTAGACGAGAACAGGACTGAAGTAAAAATAAATATGAAGAGAACGAGGCAGGTTGATACCAATGGATGAGGTACAGAGAGACTCGGAGGTGTGGCAGGTGTGGGAGGTTGAGGGCGCCTGGTGGCGGAGGAGGCGTCGGCGTCGGCCGATTGTACGAGGCTACGTACGATTCCCGTGCGCTTGCTCTCCTGTGTTCGCCGAGAATCGATCGGGCGACGCCGTTTACATTTCTCGATCGACGAACCTCGTGTAAACGCTTCTCGAAGTCCTGAGAGTTTTCCCCGTCTTGCGAGGTCTCACGTTTTCCAGCAGTTTCTTTTTACGTATTTTTCATAGCTCGTAACTCCTTAACGGAGTTAATTAGACTGCGAGACGAATGAATTGCTTGAGAATGGAGAGCCGCACTTTCCACGCCAAGACGCCATTCGATTATATCCTGTAAGCCAAACAAAGAGATTGGCTGTAACTTGAACTCTCACCAGCAATTGGTACAGAGACCAGTTGCTGTGGTTATGGATTTACGAAATCTTACCTCAGCTAGGAATGACTGTCCTGACGAAGATTGTCGCTGATGAACATGAGAATCGATACTCGTCCGATAGCCAATAAGACTGTTGGATAACTTCAGACTTGTACTGTTGCACAGTTAGTGTCTTACTTGACTGCCGAGCATTGCACGCCGGGTAATCACAGCAGCGCGCGTGTCTTATCCATCGAAATTCTTTAGAAGCAAACAATCACACTCGCGCGCACCACCTACAAAAAGGTATTACATTTCTCAGCAGTTGTACGCCGTTGTATAACCATACGCGCGAGTTACGTTGCGCAACAGGTCTCAAGCTAATGTAAGACGGAGCATGCGAACTCTAGAATTCCACTTCCAATTACCGTTCCGGAACGAAACGAACACGGCGAACAAAGCGATTCGAGCAGCAATCCTGGTTTCTCCAAGATCTTGATCGTCCAGGAATTCCCTTTCCTATTGGCTGAATAATAATAACGTGAGCAACCCTGGGTTGGACTCTATACGTACAGGGGAGTGGTGGTTGCTGGGAAATCCAGGAATGGATTATTCTGTATGCGTCGTGAGCCACCTTTTTTAAATCAGCCATTCAGACCTCGTCTGCTAAAATAAAACCAGAATTTAATGGCTGTACGTATATGTTGAGTGTTCACCTGAATTATTGAAAAGAAAAAAATTCAAACTGAGAAGCAATCACCTCACGGACGTTTCGCTCTTTTGAGCATCTGAGCTACTTGAACGCGATATCGAGCGAGCAGTCGCTGCTGACATTGCACATGGCAAGGCTGTGACGCTCGTCCTTCCTTCATCCGGTCGAGAACTTCCGGTGTACAGTAATTGGTATCCAGAATAGCATACTCGTGATAATGATTTTCGATCGGTGCTGAATCTCTTTTATCCTTTATCAACTCACTGAAGTCCATTCGCGTCTTGAATAGGCAACAAAAAATTTGCTTGCATCCATGTCTTCTAGCTGCTTCCTCAAGGCGTATTTACATAGATCACGTCAGCGATGGAATTCTAGTTTGCATTATTCAGAAGCACTGATTGCTTGTGCTACAACGGAAAAGCGATAATCGATTAGCAATAACGGTAATAACAACAGTGGACAAAAGTCAAGAGACATCAAGAGACAAAAATTACTTGATTCTTCTTTTATCAGAGAAAGCCAAGCATCGACTCTACGAACGTCTATTGATGATTCTCGTTAAGCCGACCAGGTAAGCCTCGGGCTACCTCAGGCGTATTCCGTTCACGGCTATGTGAATTCATGTAAACATATGCACCTATACAGTCGGCCAAAATCGTTGATCGTGAACGCAATGCCGCAGGCAATTCGTCAAGCTTTGGAAATCACATGCATTCTCTCGTAAACGTTAACTGTGGTGGTTCGATGTCAGAGTCGGAGAACGAAATGGCCTCGCACCTTCATCAACCATCGCCATTTATAACGGACCATTCGAGAAGCTTCTTCTGGTATAAAGAGCTGGACCTCTCATGAATTTTCTATCGAAGTTTCTGGCGAACAAAGGAGCTGCTTGTTAATGAGACTAACTCAAGAGCCAAGGCCGATTTTGGGTAGCCGCTCGTTACGAACTAGCCTTGAAGTCGTTCACGTGGACGCCATCGATTTCCTTTCGTTTCTCCCCCTCGGTCTGTTCACGAAAAATACCGTTAGACGTGAACAAGCCCAGGGCGCGGCTTGGAAAAGATGGAAAAAGGAAAAAACAAGAATTTATACGTAATTAGCCAATTGTTTTTTGCTGCAGATCACGTCCTCGGCCGATTTGGCAATAGAAATTCCAGGCAACCTGAGCCAAGGTGGGTCTTGGTACAGATTGGATTATAGTCCAGGAATCGGATATCCTCATCCGAACACTACGTTTGCTGCCACTGACATCGGAGACGTCATCAAGTTTCGCGATGGCCTCGCTGGTACCAGATATGAATTCTGGCTCTATTATAGCAATGGCACGCTTCATGATTGGCTCACTTGGACCGCTTCGATTATTACGCGTAGGTTCATGATTACCTCATTGCTATGGAATTATACGTGTTGGTAGTGCCATCTCCTACAATCATCTTTCGTAATGTTCCAGCTCCTGATCCACCTTCGAATCTGACCGTCTCGGTTCGCAATGGCAAGACGGCCATTGTTTCTTGGGCTCCGCCATCACAGGGCAACTATTCTGGCTTCCGGTTGAGGGTCCAAAGCTTCAGCGACGCTACCAATCCCAGGACCAGCGCTCTTCCTTCGGACGCTGCTCCTTATACGCTCAGAGATCTCACTCCAGGAGCTACTTACTCTCTTCAGCTCTTTACCGTCTTGGATACTAAAGAGAGCGTGGCTTATACCAGTAGAAACTTCACTACCAGTGAGTTCTATTGTGGGACTTGTTTGTCTAGAAAATTTCAATGACATTCACTCACATAGCTACGAACGATTTGAAATTTTAATGATTGTCACTATTTTACAGAGCCTAACACACCTGGCAAGTTCATTGTGTGGTTCAGAAATGAAACCACTCTACTGGTGCTCTGGCAGCCGCCATATCCGGCTGGTATTTATACACATTACAAAGTCAGTATCGATCCACCGGATGCTATCGAATCCGTCCTCTATGTTGAGAAGGAAGGTGAACCTCCAGGTCCAGCACAGGCTGCATTTAAGGGTCTGATACCAGGTAACTATCAGTGATGACGCTTTACGATTTTTCTTGGCTTTCCTGTAATGAATATGATGACATCATTTTTCACCTGGTTTCACACAGGTAGAGCGTATAATATTTCGGTGCAGACTGTGTCAGAGGATGAAACTTCAGCTCCGACAACGGCACAATATCGCACTGTACCGTTAAGGCCACTAAACGTGACGTTTGAGAAAAGTTCAGTGACGTCAAGTTCCTTCCGGGTTCTATGGAACCCACCAAACGGTACCTCAGAGTTTGACAAGTATCAGGTATCCCTTGGTGGAAATAGAAGACTCAATCCAGTCACCAGGAACACCGATGACGAGAACTGGTGGGAATTTAAGGATCTGGAACCAGGGAAAACATATCAGGTCGTTGTCAAGACTGTATCTGGAAAAGTAACCAGTTGGCCAGCTAGTGGGGATATTACACTCAGTAAGTGCTGATGATTTATCTAACAGTTTAAAGGATTAGGTCATTATGCTACAATGATAATCATCGTGCCAATAGAGCCGCTACCCGTTCAGAACTTCCGGGCTGAGATTGATGACAAAACTGGAATAGTTGAGGTCTCCTGGAATCCTGATAATTCAAGCACTCAAGACAGTTACAAAGTCATGTATCACGAAGTCGAGACGTCCATTGGCGATAGCAACACTCTGACCACTGATAAGACAAGAGTAAGTGATTGTTTGGTCGCTGTTTATTGTGTAAGTTTGTAATTATCAATATTTTTCTTTTAGCTCACTCTGGATGCCCTGCTTCCTGGTAGGAACTATTCGATTATCGTCCAAGCAATCAGCAACAAGGCTGAATCGAATGAAAGCGTCCTGTACCAGGTGACGCGTCCATCCAGTCCGATAATAGAGGATCTGAAGTCCATTGAAAAGGGACTTAATATATCTTGGAAGAGCGACGTGGATTCGCGACAGGAAAAATTTGAAGTGACACATAACAGAAACGATACAGGGGAGAGCGCAACTACGCTGACTACTGAATCTCATATAATTCTGGAAGACCTATATCCTGGAGCAGGTTACGAGGTCAAGGTCTTTGCTATAAGTCATGGGTTAAGGAGTGAGCCACATGATTACTTTCAGGCAGTCTGTGAGTTCAGTTATAATAATTATCGTTTTAATCTCCTCAATTTCCTTTTATGAGTCTGTGATTAACATTATCTGTGTTTCTTTAAGTGCCTCATCCACCAAAAAATTTGAGCATAGAAAAAGTTACCAGCAATACCGTATTGGTACACTGGGAGGCACCCAGCGATTCGATGTTTACTGAATATGCAATTAGATATCGAACTGAGGATGATCCAAGATGGGTGAAGTTGCCCAGTGTGAAAGAGACTGAAGCGGAAGTGGCGGATATGGCACCTGGAGAACGATACACCATTCAGGTGAACACCGTGAGCTTCGGTGTTGAGAGTCTTTATCCACTTCAATTGAATCAAACGATTCGTGAGTAGAGTGAAGTTAGTTAATCACGATTAGCGACGATCGATTAAGGATTTTATACGATCGATATTGATCTATTGGAATTTATTTGTCCAGGACCAAATCCAGTCTCGAACGTTACGCCCATATCGGATTCCACAAACGTAACCCTGGAGTGGCCGAGGCCAGAAGGTAGAATTGAAAAATACGTAATCAGATGGTGGCCAGTCGAGAATCCAGATGACAACAAAACGAAAAACGTTACGGAAACTAACATATCAGGCGTCGGTTACGACGACGTCGTTCTATCAACTGAAAAGATTCTAGTGAGCGATCTGATGCCTGGCGTCGAATATTCCTTTAGCGTCTTCACAGTCTCTTACAATCTAGTTAGTGACATCACCAACATTACAACCAGAACAAGTGAGTCTCGTGCGTGTTAGACTATAATCTTGAGTCTCATGTTGTGTTCGCGACTTTCCGGTTTGGAATTCGATGCCTTACTAACGGAATTCACCTGCGCATGTTTTGCTAATTCGAATTCTTCACACTGTGTTACACTAATCTTAAACGCATTTTTGCATCACGCAAGCTTATTTGCTGCTGTCGTCCTCCAGCGTTCCATTTTCCGGCCCATCAGGCCCAGTCTCCGTCTACGAGATGAGCGTCAGATAGTTCCGTTTGAAGCGCACTCGAATCTCCGTGATGAAAACCAAGCGTCGGAAGGTCTGCGACTTCTAGAACGCGTCGTCTGAATATTCCTGAAAAAAATAAATTCAAATGAAAAACCCTGAGAATTTTCTATTCCGCATACAGTGCCATTAATTCAATCGGAAGTGGTCGTGGTCGTGGACCGAGATCAGCCAGATTCTTTGACTTTGCGTTACACACCCACACCCATCGGATCCTCTCGATTCGATCTTTATCGATTTCGAATCAGCGACGAGACTAATACGACCAAGGAACGTGAGAGGGATAATACAGATACCAAAGTCACTTTTACCGGTTTGACGCCGGGACGCTTGTACAACGTCACCGTCTGGACTGTCAGTGAGAACGTCGAAAGTCAACCACTTTTCAGACAAGACAGACTCTGTAAGTACTTTCCAATATATGTAGAAAAGCGTCATCCGTCTTCCATTTTGCTCTTCATTTCCAATCCTTGATCCTCTTGATTCTTCACACGCATCTGACTGTTTGGCTATTCCGCAGGCTGTCCGAATATCCAGTGACTGCTTGCCCGCTTGTTTGTCTATCCCAAAAGTGAACTTGATCAAAATTTTTATCACCGATTGGCTAATTGTTATTTCACAATTTTGTCTAATTGAAATTTCAGACCCTGAACCTATCACGAGTATCGATGCTGTCAATGTGAACGATACTAAGATAACACTCAGTTGGGACACGCCACGTGGGGAATACAATGCCTTTGAGGTACAATACATAAATACTGAAGGAAGTTACGTGCAAAATATAACAGCACTGAACAACATCACAATCAGCGACCTCAAGCCACATAGAAACTATACCTTCACTTTGGTGGTTCGTTCGGGTACCGAATCCACCTATCTCAGAAGATCCAATCCATTGAGCGCCAGTTTCACAACGAGTGAGTCCTATCCTGGGAGAGTCGACAAGTTTCATCCAACCGACGTACAGCCAAGTGACATCAGCTTCGAATGGTCTTTACCGAGTCAGGAACAAAATGGTGTTATCCGGAAATACAGCATAACATATGGACTTGAAGTGAGATTCGTTAAACATGATATTATATCTCATCGATATTCAGTGATAACAATTTTCACGTTTCTATCATTTTTATCAGGGTTCAACTCACACGCAAGTACGGGACTTCCGAGCGAACGAATTCCGTGGTGTGATAAAGTCACTAATTCCTGGAAAAACGTACATATTCCGTATTCAAGCCGAAACCAGAATCGGTTTTGGTCCAGAGGCTGTTTGGAAGCAGAAGATGCCTATCCTTGCACCACCCAAACCACCAACCCAAGTTGTTCCTACCGAGGTCTGTCGCAGCAGCACAACAATACAGATCAGGTTCAGAAAGAATTACTTCAGCGAGCAAAACGGGGCTGTCATCTCGTACACTATCATTGTTGCCGAAGATGATACCAAGAATGCTTCCGGCCTGGAGATGCTCAGTTGGAAGGACGTTCAGTCTCACAGCATCTGGCCTCCGTATCAGGTAGGTCTACAGCATGATCTACGATACTGGATCTCACTGGGACTTGTACTGAACTTCTTGTCCCCACCTGCGATCATAGTGATGTTTTCTACAACTTCAAAGCGAGATTCATGAGAACTCATTAATTCAATTGATTATCCCAAGCAGCTACTTAACTTGCATGATCACGGTCGACTTGTATCCGACCAGTATCGAACGTCCTCCACACCTATGTCTACGTTGCATTTTTAGTTTTATGAGTGGAACGTGAGTCTGCATTACCAGTAGTAAATTGTACCTTGTTCTTTGTGCAACTGAAGTAGATCCTCATGGAAACTTTAAAGAATCTTATAGCCAATACAGGAAAACTGATAGTTCAGGTAAATAGACGTTACTGGTGGATGATCTTTAAGATCTTGAAATTTAATCAATGAAACAAGGATTGTAGTATCGATTCGAAAACATGGACAAAGCATGATAGATTTATCAGTGATTTAGTGGTCTATATTTAATCATCCTAATACGCCAAAGATAAAGATTATCTTTCGATGATAAAAGCATTCAGAGTTTTAGACTGTCTTGTGCTCGTTGTGTCTCTTAATTATTCATAGAGGACTTTTATGGGTGAGGCAACAATCATGCAATCACTCATGCATTGTCCCATTGATCCGCAGGTCATGGAACCGTATTGTCCATTCAAGAATGGATCGGTCGAGGACTTTACTATTGGAACGGAGAATTGTGATAACAAGATTGGTTATTGCAACGGTCCGCTTAAATCTGGATCAACGTATAGAGTGAAAGTTCGGGCGTTCACTGCTCCTGATAAATTTACAGACACCAGTTACAGCTTCCCAATTCAGACAGGTGAGTAATCTAATATCTATCTATATTAATGGTTATTATTTTCATGATTGAATGAGCGTTCATATCGTGTCGTGTTCTATCCATGTCTCGCCCAAGGATTACTGCTGGCAGGTAAAACCCACAGAAATCAGCTTTTTATTCTTTGCGCCTTTTCATTTATTTCAATCAACTTGCGCGTGCTGTTTCTACATATTATTCTTTTTATTATCCCTTCGCTTCAGTTATTGATCCATATTTTTCTTTTGATTGACAGATAAGGACAATACCGCCATCATAGTAGGGGTGACTGTCCCGATAGTACTGCTACTGTCATTGTTGGGTATAGGCCTCATTGTTAGAAGACGAAGGAGTCAGGGCCGGAAGACGACTGAAACTAGGACAAGCGATAATCTCTCTTTGCCGGATAGCGTCATTGAGACTTCGTGAGTCTACTTTATGATACGATGATAAGTTTGTGTATTGGGTAGGATATTTGTAGATCCTCGATTCACTTTGATTATTTTCTTCTATCAGCCGTCCTATCAGGGTCGAAAATTTTGCGGAACACTATCGTATTATGTCTGCGGATTCCGACTTCCGGTTCTCTGAAGAATTCGAGGAGTTGAAGCACGTTGGAAGAGATCAACCCTGCACTGCTGCTGATCTGCCCTGTAATCGTCCCAAGAACAGGTTCACGAATATCCTGCCCTATGATCACAGCAGGTTCAAGCTGCAGCCTGTGGACGATGAAGAAGGTTCCGATTACATAAACGCCAATTACGTCCCAGTAAGTTTATTCAATTTGTTTTACTTGCCTGTTTTGGACCAGTCACCAGTGAACTCTAATCATTTTTCACAGGGTCACAACTCGCCAAGAGAATTTATAGTGACCCAGGGTCCACTGCACTCAACGCGTGATGATTTTTGGAGAATGGTTTGGGAGAGTAACAGTAGAGCGATAGTGATGCTGACAAGATGTATAGAAAAAGGCAGGGAAAAGTGTGATCATTATTGGCCCACTGATACATTGCCTGTCTATTACGGTGACATAAGCGTGACCATTCTGAACGAAGCACATTATCCTGATTGGAGCATCACGGAATTTTTGCTCTGCAGGGTAAATATATCTTTTCAATGATTTCTTTTCCTCTAAATATTCTACTCCATCGTGATCTCGTTGACTTAACCCCTTGGGCTGCTTACAGGGTGACGTCAAGAGAGTCATCCAACACTTCCACTTCACAACGTGGCCAGATTTCGGTGTGCCAAGTCCACCTCAAACCTTAGCGAGGTTCGTCCGTGCATTCAGGGAACGAGTGCGACCTGACCAACGACCCATAGTGGTCCACTGTAGTGCAGGAGTGGGTCGAAGCGGTACCTTCGCTGCTCTAGACAGGATACTTCAGCAGATCCTCGTCTCAGACTTTGTTGACATCTTTGGCATCGTCTGGGCAATGCGCAAAGAGCGTGTTTGGATGGTCCAGACCGAGCAGCAATATATCTGTATACACCAATGTCTACTGGCCGTTCTGGAGGGTCAGGATACCACTGGACCAATCCGAGAGATTCATGACAATCAGGGATTTGAAGGTAAGATCAATCCTTTCTAGGTTCTTCTTCCTTGTTGTATATCCCTGGGTGGTTAGCGATTGCTGTTGGTTAATGATATTGTTAGTATCGATTACTGTATAATGCTGATGATTATGGTGGTGGGAAAGCTTAACAATTGAATTCCTATTCAGGGAAGAATCGAAGCTCGGTCGAAAACTCTAAGAGCCCTGCTGAGGCTGAGAAGGAGAGGTGACCTTCAGACAGTGAACTCTACGTTGAGGGTAATTGCGTGCGCTCTTTATTTCCTGTGCACGTTAAATTACTACGTCATACGATGCATGCGGTGTGAAGTTAGCTACTAAAAAGAAAAAGAAAAAGGCGTGCATAATAATTCTTTTAGTAGTCCCTCGTAGCATGCCAACTGTATGTTTTATATGTGTTAAAATTAAGGTGGCATGTGAAAGCGTATGAATTTCTAAAATAGAGATCTTTCATGATCCAAGTTTAATCTTGTATTATTTTTTTTTCCAGATGATGAGGGAATAGCCGAGTCAGGAATGTGATGAGCTACGTCGATGCATGCTAATCAATAGTATTGTATTCTAAACCCCTTAACTGTACAAAAAGGAAAGATGCTTCTGTGCCAAAAATGAATTCAATGAAAGAGTCGTAGCGTTCGGGTGACAATTGTGTGTTAGAGATTTTTGGGTTCATCGAATGAAAATCTGAGGTTGAAATTTTCAATCCGTCATTTCGTGTATGGTGGATTCAGTAATTTGAATTTGAAAATTTTTATCTAAGATTTGACTCCGTGTCCCAACAAGTCTACATATACGTATCTCGTTTCGTTGAAGTCGCACTAGTGGAAATTAGTTATTTTTTCTTTTCTCAAGTGCGCATACAGATAAATGACACTTAAGGGGTTAAAGAGCAACAAATGCCGGTAAACATAGGGGCAATTTTGACAATGACTGAGCAGCTCTGCGACCAGAATTACCGAAGAGGAACTGATGGAGGAGGAGAACGAAGGGGACGGAGAAGAAAGAACTATAGGACCAGAAGGAGCGTCCATGTGTGCAAGTTCGCTTATCAGTTGAGAATGAATGAAACGGTTAGAATGAAAGTTGGCTTTTTATGTAAATTCGTAAGTAAGCGCGGAACGAGACATATCCGTCGTACGTTGTGAACCTAGATATTGGGCTGGCCCAAATCGCATGTACGTAGTTAATCGTCATTTTGCATTGTCGTATCGATATCTACCGGTATATACTTAATTGACGATAAGAAACGCGAAGAAGATAAGGGAAGAAACAAATGTAGGGGTGGTCGTAGCATCCGACGTTGGCGAAGACTTTGGGGCCTGAACTATCTGTCAGATAGCTGTCTTGAGATTTCCATAGCGACAACGTCCGTCCAAACGCCATACTAGGAGAGGGTCACGTTAAAATTAATCTAGACATTTTTTAAATCCATACTCTTCTTGAGATAGACCTAGAACACGTCGGTGGGAACAAGAAACTCGCATTGTCGTAGAAGCCATATCAATTGTCCTTTTTTTTCTTTTCTTTCCCTTTTTCAAGATCAGTACCTAATGCTCGATGCATACCGTACAAATATTGAGATTCGTGAAACGTGGCGAGAACGAGCAAAATAGAAAGTAGCAAGTAGAGAACATATGAGTTTTGGATTATGATGCGAAGGGATATAGATACTTAATTAAATTACATGTAAAATCACTAGATGGAATAGACTAGCATCATATTGAACGTCCAATGGACACAATCGTGGCTACGCCTTTGCCATCGAAATAGGTCAGAAACAAGAATATTAATGTCATTGAAATTTTATACAATTTTTCATATACTATTTTTGTCGTGCTTTCAATCGTCAGTGTACATATCGGTACACTGTGCGTGAACCGGAGTTGGGAATTCGTCCTAATTTAATATAAAAATAAAAAGGGAACACGTGTTGGTTCTCCCATGGTTAAACGGACCACTGTAAATATAATCGAGAGAAAGAAACTCGAGGATGTAATTTTACCGAGAAATTATTATCGTTACTGCTATTACTAATATTATTTTTATTCATAAGCGTGTTAATCGGATAGGCTAGCGCTTTTTATCGATCTTCCCGCGAGAACGTTGACTCCTTCCTTTTAATTTTATCAGAGTCTAAATTAAATTCTCGTTTACGGAGATCGGCAGTAGCCTCTCTTCATTATTGTTATTTCGTTGAACGTCGTTAAACGGCGTTAAATGGTAGCCCGGGATGGGAGTTTATTCCATGGTAGAGTTAAGATTGTAGAAAATGGATGAATCGTGAGAGCTACTTGTAATATCAGGATGGTTGAAATGAGGATAAGGATGAAAATTAATGAGATAAGAGATTAAACGAGCCACGATATCAGATACGAACAGACAAATTAATAATGCGTTAGAATATAAGAAACCCATCGCGACTCTAAGCTACTTTACGTTATTCTGTGATAAATTTCGGCAGTCGATCGACGCCGGGAAAAATGAAATCGCGGGTGGCGAGTTCTCATGAACATTCACGACGACTCTCGAACACGTGGGTGTTCTAAAGTGCCATCCCGTGTATGCTGCTCATATTCCGAAGAAACTACCCTTTTGCCGTAACTTGAGCGTAATGCATCTCTTTGTCTCTGCCAATAAGGAGAAGAAGGGGTTGATACGATTCGTCAATACGTATTGTTTAAACGAACGCGAACAATTTGTATATCGTATAAGGAGAAAATAATGAAGTTGAGAAAATAATGTTCGATCCACTTGTCGATTAAAAGAAATGACAAAAAAATACAGAGAGACAAGAAAGACGAATTACACGTACATAATAAATGTGATTCTTCAATAAAAAAATAATTGTAATGCTATTAATTCCCTACCCTTATCTGACAAATATTTATGTCTATTTTTATAGCCTGAAATATCTCGAGATTATAGAAACTTTGCTAGTCGACTGTAGCTGCTTGCAATTTAATCAAATCTTGACCAGTGAATCTTCAATTCGTGTCACGCTCAGAATGCTCGGGGTTAGTTGTTCGACCGGAACAGCTTTTCTTAGATCCGCCCAGGGTGAGATTTCCCATTATCCTCGAGGCGAGTGCTGACTTGCGTGATAAATAATTTTCTTTGGACAGACCCTTGTTTTCATCCATGTTTGTGTTATCTTCCGGCATCCCATGATGTCCACGTGTCTTACCACGACCTGAACGACAAAGGAAGTCACATAATATTTGCTAGAAATGCTCTTTCATTAACTATTAAAGGATCAATGAATGATTAGTTCGGTTTCCTTCTTCGCCCTTTTCTTTATCGGAAATTCCCAAGAGCTTTACTTGCCTCGTAGTTGACTGAGTACTTTGGCAAAGATACCGGTCGAGTGAGCCTGTGGATCCGACGAAGATACAGTAGCAGTGGCTGGGTTATTCTTTTTATAAAAAATTCCAGTCAAAGATCCCGCCCTGTGATCCGAAAAGAGCTTTCTCGGCGCCCCATCTTTATCGACAAGCTTCAGCATCCTGCCAAGGGAGTTTGCTCTCTCCTTCATAGAGATTTGATCTTTATATAAATCAGACGGGGCACGTTCCTTATGAAAATAAACTATGTGAATTATATTTGATCTGGATAAAGTACATTGACTGGTATATATTTGAATGGCAGTAACAGCTTACCGACATTCCTTGCCTTGGGTCACAGCAATCTTTTTCCTTTCCGGATTTTCGCATCATCATCATCTTTCCCATTCTGCCCAACGTGAGACTCCTAACTTTCTTAGCATCTGCTTCTTTCCCAAAGCCCTTCATTTCGCTCCAAGGTGGTCTTGTAACCGGTGTAAGGCCTTTACGGCTTACCAAGTCCCGTTTCTCTTCCTCTTGATAAGCTCTGGTGGTCTTACAGTTATGATATTCGGAACTGTTTGGATCTTCTGGATTTCCTAGCGACACGGTAATCTGCTCCTGGCTTTTCTCGGATATACGCTCCGTGCTATTTTCCACCCCGTCATCCTGCACTGAACTCTCGAATTGAAGGTTTACAGAATTTTGACAGGGCTGGAGATCCTCTTCGCCGTATGTATTATTTCTCGTGTAACATTCCTCTATCATGTCTCCTGTGCACTGTCCGATCCTTGCTTTAGGAAACTCGAACGTACCCTTTTCCGAGACCTGTAGATTCATGGAGAAAGAAAGACTATAGTGTGATAAGAGAGATTTAACATGGACCAGGGACTGCTGTCTTTTCGTTCGGAGCACACAAAGACGTGAAGTTCGATCTTATCTGATAAAAATAATAACAAAACAGTTTCGGTGTCCTCCTGTTATTTTTATTTCCAATAAAAATAAATGAATGACGTACCATTCTATTCGTTTGAATTGATTGTCAAAATATAATTATCAATTAGAAGAGTTCTCCTCCTTTTCAATTCTTTCCTTCGTTTGGAACGGGTGAAATTTATTAAAGGAACATTATTTGTTTCACTTCAGAAACGAAGCTTGTTACACGGTGTTCCGTATATTGAGACGTTTTCTTAGAAATTCACTCAACATCATCCATGATTTTTTACTTGACTTTGGTAATACACGTAATTTTGTATTACGAGGAAATAAATTCTTTATGGAATTTTACATTTATTTCTGCTTTTTTACTTTCATATACTTCCCATATTTTCCGAGAACAATATATTTATATCACAGTAAACAGAACCTTTATCGTCGGGACACGCGTGTATGGTCCTTCCACTTTGTCCTGTGCCTACTTCCGTATCACAAGGAAGTCAAAAGAGAGCAAAAAAAAACAAAATTCAGTCGTACACAAAAAAACGTGGAATTTGAACAGATTTTCATCTCGATAAGTCTCGTTAACCTATCCTTGAAATTACAAAAAGTCTTCTGTCAAAATTCAAAAAGCCTCAAAGTGCTTCACCAGAGAAAAAGTTTGGGAAACCCTGGTCTCTATAGCTCATACTCCATAAGTAGCCCATAATCGATAATATTCAATATCCGTAGTATTAGCAGAATCAAATTTTCGGTTTACGATTGGCTTCAACGCTCTGGGGGCTTTTATTATTCAGAACTGGAGTTTTGGAATTAACCTCGGTACCGTCTGATCCATTTAATGATACTCGACATTGTATTAAGATATCGCACGAGCCTGTGATCAATTCCACCCCTTAGGCCCAATCCCACCCCCTAGGCCCAAATCCATATGGCGAATCACGTGCGACAGTTTGAAAAGCAGCAGTCGTAAGTCTGAAATCCAATAAAACTGTACGTCGGCAGGGCTGTCCTTAAAATATTCTGTCGAGCTTGATAGCGTATACATATAGGTAGGTAGTATTTTCTCGTTAAATCATTCTGTACTTACTAAAATTCCAAGTGTACCCGATGGAGATTTAACGGTTGGGTTCGGTACTTCTGGTTTCGATTTTATTTCAACCGAAAGATTTGCACTGCGGTTGATCCGTGTCTGCGGAAATTCTTCTATTTCTGTTATCAGTTTCTCATCTTCTTGCCCTTCTGAACTTTTAATCTCGAATAATCGAATAAGAGTGGCCAATATCCTTCAATAACGTGAGATCAATACGAGGAGCTTTTAACGCTAGATGGACAACGGTAATACCTAAGACCTTATCAATACATCAGATACCATATGACGTTTGCTGGTTATTGTTTATTTGGGTGCCACCATCATTCAACAAGTTTTCCAACACTGCCAAGAATAAAGTTAATCATCAATCATCGAAAGACTAATACGAAAAATGAATATATTCATATAATTATCTATTCTCTTTCACTTATCCACCCCACAGCGATCGGATTAGTCAATGAACTTAAGCGGCAGAAGGTCAAAGTAACATTGCGTCTATTTACGATAATGGCCCACTTTGACAAATTTTACTTGGCCAACTTTTCTCCGTGAAATCCCCAATACCTGTAACATAAAGAACGACATTAATTCTTAGGTTACCGCCTCGTCGATATTGCCTGGCAAAAATAAACGTGGAATAATTTAGTCGATACAATGTTTGACTTATTTTATGAAACTTGTCAAAAGTAAGACGTGGCTTGCCGAGGAGTTTCATGACTAAACCACCCAGGCAAAAAACACGCAAAAAAACCTGCGACAAGACGCCTTACTGAAAAAAAATCCTACGACAAAGCGCCAGGTAATAAAATGCTTGAGCCAAAAAAAGCTGGAGCGAAATCCTTCCAGCCAATAGAACACAACATATCGTTCATAGCAGATTATCATTTATTGATAGAACGAACACGAAGTACACTTTGGAATTAGACGCACAGGCAATCGAGTAGACTGAACTGACATCAGAAATATAACGATAGATGATACATCCGTCGAAGGGAATGCGGGAACGACGACAACAAAACCAATGTACCTTATCAGGGGTAAGTCCCGCGAGTGAGGACGATTCGGGGATTCTATTTATCTAATCTGATCCTGTGAAAACAGTACAGTTCTAACTTATTCCAACCGTTTCTAAGCTCATCGCAGCAATGTTATCGCGCGAGGACGATTTTATTTGTCTAGACCAATCGCGTCAGGATTACTGTTTCTGTCGGAGGAGTACAGTTCGAGAATAATTCGTAAGCAGGGGGTAAGACGAAAGGCGATTTGGGCACTGAAGTATATCGTCGACGGGCAATCAAGTGCCGGGCATTTGGTCGTCAGGTATACTAGTTCGAGAAATTTCGTCGCTAGGCATTTTGTCTGGGTGATTTAATCGAGATACCGACAAATACACAAAGAAAGCCAAGGAACGAGGGAATGAGATTGGGAGTGGCAGTAATAAGGGTTAGAACAGATATTGTTAACAAGGGTAGGAATGTAAGGCGTTGATGGGTCCGATTGTGTTGATCATATTTAAAACAAAGCCTTTCTTATTATATTAAAACATTTTTGTCTTAGATCCTAACGAAAGTGAAATAACGAAATTTTCTCTCCTCGTTCTTCAATTATTTGATAAATTTGCCGAATATATTTTTTAGAAAAATCCATGACGATATTCAAGGCAATGACCATATACAGGCTTATCCTGGGCTCCGTATCTAGGAGGAGTCTTCGTATACGGGCTATTCTCTAATCGGGTACCTTCGTCCTTCGGTTAAGCTGATATTAACACGAAATTTCAAATGATTCTGCAAGTCACTGATAAGAAGTTATAGTTGATTGTTAACAGAGAACCGAGTTAATTGTTCGAATAGAAAACTGTCGCGCGGATAAATATCCTAAAGTGCTTATAATACCATATCAAGAGCATCTTGCCCGTAGGCGCGGGCAATCTGATTAGGGAATAGCGCATCTAATACATTTGGAGGCTCCTGCTAAATTCGGAGTCTAGGATAATTCACCTGGTATATATGTATATACATATACTGCCTCTGTGCTTATCCGTTCATTCGTTACTTCATGATCGAGTCAATTGGTTTGTTTGAATATTTTTGTTGGCCAGGTACAGTAACGCTGGAATGATTGGGCACCGCCAACCATCTCTCTCTGCCCAGAGAAATTGGAGAAAGGGGCCGGAGACACGTTAACAGACCTGAGGGAGTCAGTCTACGTGCAAAGAGCGTCGCGCGCGTTTCGATTCGCATCGGATCTCTCGGAGGGCTCTCTGTTGTCTTTAGATAATCGTGTTTTCATGAGATTCTCGATATTTTAAATTGTAGGATAAAAATAATGCCGAGTTGGCGAAGTTTCGAGGTTACTGAAAGTCGTGGAATCGACTCGAGAGTAATAATTTGTGTGTGAAAGAATAAAAATCCGAAAGATACAACCTTCGATCCGCGTACGGGAAAGTGCGTGGCTTAACGCTAAAAGTATTCATCTTGTACATATATTCCGCGTATGATCTATTGTTTTGTCTCCTCCTTGTCAATTTCATACTGTTTCTCTAATCTTCTGCATGTATTCCTTGTCGCTCCTCTTTATTGCTTTTTATTCGTTCATCAAGTCTCAGCTCTCATGATTCGTCGTTTCCAGCCGACACTCATCTGTAAGTAAACTTATTATGTGTGAAAAGTTTTTGACAGTCGCTTTGTGGTATGTGATATTTATTCGGCACGATATGAAAGGTAAAGCCGGGACGATCGAATGGAATATTGAAAGTAACTAGTGGAAGGTACAATATTGAAAAATGAGGCAAGCGAGGGTGTGATTGACGTATCCTGAAATTGATAGATTGTCATCTTGGTAACTGAGACTGAAAAATTTGGAGGTGTAACGTTTTTTTTTTATTTTTTTTTTTTTTAGAAACAATTTATCATATACGCGAAATTCACGTAGACTGGGTTAATCATATTTAAAGTGTTCAATAAAAGAGGATGTTCTTTTATTAAAATTCTGTCTTTCGCTTTTACCTGTACCCATTCTTTTTTAATATCTGTTACTTTGATATTCCTAAGGCACTGTAACGAGAATTCATTTTCGTCAGTCGGGATATTTGGAAAAGTATAACAAGCGGCTGATGTGTTCCGGGTTCGAATCCCGACTCAGCCGCCCCACATTTTTTCCGGATCATCCCTTGAAAATAATCCATCCTCCGTGTTACAGTACATATTGCTATAACACATATGATTATATAGCAGACTGTTTCGCAGATAAACTTCCAAAGCTTCGATCGATAGGCAGATAGAGACAGGGTAAAAATAGATATTAAAAATTTTTGTTTCAATTCCAAAGATAATACTAATCAAAAGTGAACACAAGCGAACGTGATTATTCCGAGACAAAAAGTAATCCGACAGTCGCAATATGAATGCAAATAAAACGTCACACGTACAGCGGAGTAATAAAATTGGTGAGATTTGAAATAAAAATCAATGTCGTTCGATCAGTTCTATTTCTATACGTTTTATCTACTTGATTCCTACTTTCTAGCGATCAACGTGAAATACGGTTTTATTTTTTATTCATATAATAAAAAACGACTACTTCGATGTCTCATGAGACCCCACATTCTTTTTCAGACAGCTTCTATTCCTATTCCATTCAGTCTATGAAGGGTATCCCACCCGCTAAAAAAGGTTTCTCTATATATTTCTCTTTCTTACGCATTGAAATTCACACGACTCCATCTCTCTTGTACTCATGGGCGTTATGTCAAATATAGAAAAATTCAAGATCTAAGCTGTCCCAGCTCGATCAAGCGTGCCTGCTTGATATGATATACCTAACCAGACGATTTGTCGCGCTCAGCGCGTGAATTAAAATTGAAGAATTCATGTAGAAAATATGTCGAAAAGAAATCACGGAAAAAAAAGGTCTTTTGCACACCGAAGAACACTGCCATCCAATATAATTGGAAATCGAATTTGGCGCTGGGGCTATTCCCTGTAATTTCTCAAGACGCAGAGAAAACATTAGGAACGTCAGGTTTACGCAGAATTATTAAAGCGCTACAAGAATAATTCCGGAACCCTGTCTAACCTTTGAAATCCCTTCCTTGAAATCAGATCTAAGCTAACTCATCTTCATTTTCCACAAGTAGATCGGAAGGTCTACGGATAATGACTGGGTCAGGTAAATCGATCCTCATTCAGATTACGACGCTCGGTGAGCCCGAGGGACGTTCAAGGGACGAAGAATCGTTTATACGAATTATGACGAAACACGTGTCCACGTATTACAACAGCAGCGAATCAGACCCGGATGATGTTATTGAGGAAGCAGACGGAAGAATCAGGACGACGACAAAATATCCGGAACTTTTAAGCGTGACGTCCAGCATCACTTCGACGATAGCTTCCTTCAATGGCACCGTCACGACAGCATCCGGTGGAAATATTCTGGAAGGTCTCATCGTACCCCTCTACGCCACGATATTTCTTTTGGCGGTCGTCGGCAATTGTCTCGTCCTCGTCACCCTGGCGAGAAACAAGCGAATGAGGACTGTGACCAACGTCTACTTGCTGAATCTGGTCAGTAGCAGTTTATTTGGAAATAATTATTTTTTTATCTGGCAATACCTTGTTTATCTTTTTTTTCCTTGGACGAGGGGACTTTGGAAAATCATAAATGTACCAGTCAAGCCTGATATTATTATACGGAGATAACACTGTCGAACATGACGGATTGGTCGTAGGGAAGAGAAATACGAAAGAGTGAAAATATGCTTTGGCTCAGGTTGATTCTGCCGGAAAGAAGGGCGCGGTGAATAAGGGGATGTACTAAGGACATCAAGATAAAAGATAATCGAGGTTCTGCACTCGTAATGAATATTATGGAATTTTCAGGAAATTCATACAATTTGGAAAACAAGCGTTCAGCGAGTAAGAAAAGTTTATTGAATCAAGGGTATCCTAGTGACATGCATGATACGAGTATAGAACTTTTGAAGTATATCTGATTATACAGATTCTGTGCGAGTTGGGATAAGGGCAAAGGGCGAGGGGGGCGGAATAGAAAAGAGAGAAAGAGAAGCACGTGGGCTTCTGCCCTGGGGCAAATGGAGTCCTTTATGGACAGTGAATCGGGAAACGTGATACGACAAGGATGATCGGGGTGTGTTGTAAATATAAAATTTCATACGTGATTACAAGATGGAAAAGGTAAGGAATAGATGCGATATGTGGTATGGTGGGTGGGGGACGTGAAAAAAAGGAGGAAAAGTACTGAACGTAAGAGTACTTAAAAAATGTATATATAAACTAGAGGAGGGCAAAGTCGATTTGAAGAACAAGAGAGAGAAAGTGGGAGAGTGGAAGTGAGAGAGAAATTCAATCTTTCTGCCGTATGGGCATTCCAGTGAACCCCGAGGATATTTTAGGGAAACTGAAACGAGCAGCCGTATATTGTGCCCAGTGGATAAAATAACTATAGGTATGAGGAAAGTTTTAATAGTTGAAGGCGAGGCGAATAAGGGATTTTATTAGGCGTCTGGGTTTTTTAATTTAAAAGTAATAAACACTGATAACCAATGGGTTCCACTGAATATAATTGGCAGGAAAGAGAAAGAGGTTATATGGGAAAAAGAGCCTTTCACCTTTTAAGAATTCTTTACAATTTTGCTTCGGAGAAAATTTTCAGCTGCGATGCCATATCCTGTGGGGATGTTGCTGTTATTACATGCTCATGATATGAAAGCCTTGAAATATTTTTTTTTAAAGATTATTCGATGCGTAAAGTAAAATTAAATGGGTAATTCTGGGTAAATCGAACATGTTCAATAGCTGGTGTCGATTCGCATTTAATAAACTCCGAAAATTGTATAGTTTACAAGATAAATATATAAAAGACTGAAAATCCAAGATTTTTCTAGGTCTGCTTTGACACTTCGAGTATTCTTATGGGCAGCTAATTGTGTACATATATATGTATTTCGTGTAGCTCTGTATCATATAAAAAGAAAATGTCTAAAGTTTCGGGACGTCATCAAGGTAACCTTCCTGGTAAGTCAATAATACTCTGCTGAAAGCGTCAAGTGGATTTGGCAGCCGTAGGGAAGCAAAGGCAGCCCATGTCAAAATCGCTGGTATTTCCAGCCCTTGGATTTTCTTCCCCTTTGTACTCTCACGAAACGACCACAATTATCTAATATTTTTGTGCGCCCGGCTTTTACGAGCAATCGGGCTCTTTACGACTTTCCACGCTATTTTGTTACTGATGCGATACTGCGATATTGCGTTTCTTCTTATGAGTGATACTATAATCCCAATCGTTCCACCGGACGATATACGTGTATATCTAGACCGACTGAAATGGGTGAAAAATCAAACGTTTCGACACTTTTGTAACGATATTAACTTTAAAGCCCATTATATTCGCGTATAGCAATAAGGCAGGATTGTAAAATTTAGTAAAATCGACAAACGTATTTTTGATTTATACCAGAGCCAGAGGGAAAACAATCAAAGTGCGAATTCTGCATTTTTTTTGGACAAAGGTACCGTTTTGATTGATTATGCAAACTCGACGTATGCCCTTATGGGAAATTGTGGGCGGCGTTATATGTCAATCACAAATTTCAATACCCAGAACCCTTGTAATTTGGTTTCGTGCAAGCTGACAAGATTTCGTCCCTAAAATTATATTTTATGTGATATTTTATTGACGTAGGATTAAACGTCTTCGTGAGCTATCTAGGAGTAGTGAATTGCATGGGTTTAGAAATGACGTAAGTGGCAAGTGAAGAAAAAGCCATAGCATAGCGAGTAATTATTAAATTGGCTGACTGGAAGCTTTTTAGTAAAAAAATCATGGAAAAAAAATATATCCTTCCGAAAACTCCTTTCCGCAAGTTTTTAGCACATTAAGAGTGTAATAAACGAATCAGGCTCAAAAGAATTGTGAAAAGTAAGTTTACTGATTGAATAATTGGAAGATTCAATTATCTGCTTCCCGTTTCTTTCGCTTTTCTTTTTAGAAAGTGACATTATTCTCTCGTGGATCTGGTACACAGGTATACGAGCCGATCGAAGAAAGCAATTTACGAAACTTAGGTCACGAAAAATCAAATTAATTTGAAAAAGAAGTGAAAAAGACCAGGGGTCCAATAGGTCCAATACCTTGATATATCGATGAAAATGAAAAAAAATTCTATTCAAGTGTAAGTAATTTCATGTCATCTCGAGAATAATTGCGAGAAAATGTATTTCTTAAACAATGTGTGGACGGAGATTCTATATTTCCTTAAATCGTGCGAATACAAAATCTTTTTGAGTGCTGGATTGCATAATATGTCAATCGATGCATTACCCCAGGCAATGATTAAGAAACGGAAACCCTGGTGGGTTTATATTCTCAAAATAGCTAAATCGAATAACATTTATGCCCGTGTGTAAAGCAAAAGTATAAGAAAGATCTGGGAAAGACTATGAAAAAAATTTCTGATATATTTTCCAGACTTTTCCCACACTTCAGGTTTTAATATTTTATCGAGAATTCGTGATGCAATGGAAAGTAATGAAATATCATCGTCTTCAGTTGTTGTTCTGCTACACTGAACTTATCATTCTTCATTATTTTTTAGGGTATTATATGTATGCCTTTCTTCCAGCGTACTTATTGTTAGTCAAATCTGATATGTTTCAGGCAGTGTCAGACCTTCTCCTTGGAGTTTTTTGCATGCCCTTCACGCTCCTTGGACAGATGCTCAAAAATTTTGTCTTTGGGACTACAATGTGCAAACTCATACCTTACTTTCAAGGTAAGAGTAATCCGTTCATTTGCATGGTCTAATCGATTGTCAGAAACGCACTGTAGTAACATCGTTGCATTTCTTGTCAAATTCTAAAAAATACGTGTATTTTCATTTTTTATTTCATATATTAAACGTTTAAACGGAGCGTAGATGACGTCGCGAGCCAGCCCGCAAGACCTGCTTGCACTAGGCCAATAACATTAAGAGTATCGTCGTTGTGTCCCTGTTTATCTGCATGTAATTGAGTAAGATACAAGAGACGATACTCTTAGTGTTATCGGCCTAGTGTAAGCAGGCCTTGTGGGCTGACTCGCGACGTCATCTACCGCTCCGTTTGAACGCGTTCTGATTGGTCGCATTACTGCAACTTCAACCTTGATTATCTCGAAATTTTGATACATGAAATAAAAAATCAAAATACACGTATTCCTTAGAATTTGACAAGGAATGCAACGGTATTACTACAGTGCGTTTCATAAGGAACACCCTGTATATATACATGTCTATGTATACTCTCATGTCCAGTGCAAACCGACATTTACAACTTTCTCTGCGCCTGAGAAATAGATGGGCTTTCAGGCAAAAAGTACCTCCATCGTAAGCGATGAGATATTAAAAAAAAAGAAACTAATGCTAACGAATTTTACACTCATAATAACTACTTTACGCGTCCGACATTTGTTACATAGCTGTTCAAGGGGTCTTTAAAACCCATAATGTATTGCTATCATTTAGCTAGGGTTGCAAGAACCACAATCACCTTCTTTAGGCTTTATTACCCTATACGAATCCGCCAAGCATGGCCATCTGACCTATGAGATTGTTTTTCTTTTAATTTTTACATAAAAATACGGTTTAGTTAGAAGATGGCTCTGCTTACTTATTTATAATCATTAATCAGTCCAATCAAGGGCTTCAGAAGATACTCCCTAAAGACTCTTGAACATTGCGCCAAGCTGTGCTGATAAGGATAGCAATTCCATTTCCTGTTTCCAGCCGTTTCAGTTTCCGTCGGCGTATGGACCCTCGTGGCAATTTCCCTCGAGCGATACTTCGCCATTTGTCGACCGCTCAAATCGAGACGCTGGCAGACGCAATTCCATGCTTATAAAATGATAGCCGTTGTTTGGGCAGGAAGTCTTACATGGAACGCACCGATTTTGGCGGTTTCTCGACTGAAAGCTATTAGAGGAGGTGAGTGTTATCGCTTGCTTGCCAAATCGAGCCGCCACGCTTCTTGTCTGTCATTGTCCATTATGTGTTCCATATATGACAGTCCCAATCCTCAAAATTGAATCCAACGCCAGCTCATTGTCATCCGTTAAGGAGAATCACAGAGGGAATTAGATTAATTTAATAAATCTCGATATGACAAGCGGGAGTTCCATAAATTTCTCGTGGATATTCATTCGAACCTGAAAGGAGCAAATTAATGAACATTAAGTTTGTTACTGAGAGCGATACGCGTCTTAAAGAAAAATATATTTCAAATTGTAGTTGCCGTTCAACCCTCTAAACATTCCCGTCAACCTACTAATTGAACAATTTGTCAAAGGGGGTGTGTCGGGCCGAATGAAATTTTCGATATAACGGGCACTGTTAGGATTCTTAGGGTACACGAATTTACATTGTTAATCGAAGGACGTACAAGGAGCGACGAGACTTCGATCCTCCCCGGGTACAGCGGTTCTTCGCTCTTTCAGTCGGTCCGACGGAATTTCAGGCCGGCACAAGTGCAGAGAAGAATGGCCGAGTATTGGATCAGAAAGGGCATACAATCTTTTTCTCGACGGGATGCTGTTGCTTATTCCTCTGGTGATAATGAGCCTCGCGTACTCGTTGATCGTGACGAAGCTCTGGCGGGGTTTGCGACGTGAGATAAAGCACAGTTCGACGTGTCAGCAACAGCAGCGTGAGTTTCTAAAAAAAAAAAAAAAAATACGTATACAGAGATTATTGGTGTAATTAATGTTTGGCGAACCTTTAACGTATATTATAAATAAATCAGTCTCTCCATATTTCTTCTGGTACTTGCCTCTTTTTCTCTCTCGTTTCATCTCATGAGATACATTCATAATTCAAAAATATCCCATTACGTCGTATGTTATTCCGCTCCTCTGGGATAATCCTGCAGTAGAGAGAACAGCATCTTCTAGCGCTGGCAACGGCAACTTGCTATGCTCACGTAACGATCCAGGCATCGCGGAAGGCAACGTTGATATTCCGGCCGTCACCACGCCTCTCAGGCACCACAGGCTGGTCCCATCAAGGAGAGATACAGGAGGTTACCTTCATGGTACAGTCACTCCTCAGGGAATAGCCAGCAGTCCGAAGAGCCTGAAAAAAAGACGTTCCATGAAAACAGCAAGACCTGGAGCGGAAGCAGTGAAGCTGTGGCTAATCAAGGGAATGGTGAGTTTTTATAATATTGAGCTAATCTTCGTGGCATTACCTTAACTGAAATTGAGCCAATAATTCAAGGTGAGTCTTCCACGACCCGGAGGTACATCTTCCAGAGTTCTTTCCCGTAGGAGTATAACTCCTGGAATAACTTTACGGACGTCACCTTCCGGCTGCGCGAACGAGGCTCAGGTTCAGACTGATCAAAGCCCTAGAGAGAGACTTCCGGAAGACCTGACCAGTAATTCAATATGCGAGGAGACCCAGGATACGACTTATACCTTCAGCAGACATGCCATACGCAGCAATTACATGGATAAGAGTATTGAGGCAAAGAAAAAGGTAGATATTCGATATTGCTGCCGTTGCTGGAAAAGCTCCGACCTCTCGTTTCCGTCCGCCAGGTCATCAGGATGCTCTTCGTTGTTGTCCTGGAGTTCTTTGTCTGCTGGGCTCCTCTTCATGTCGTCAATACTTGGTACCTCTTCGCACCGGATCTTGTCTACTCTCTGGTGGGAAGCACAGGGATCAGTCTGGTCCAGCTTCTAGCTTACGTTTCAAGTTGCTGCAACCCAATTACTTATTGCTTCATGAACCGGAAGTTCCGACAAGCATTTCTCAGCTTGTTTGATTGTTATCGGTGCTGGAGGTAAGTGCTGCTAGTTTATAGCCAACGTTTCTCGCACATTATCATAATCCAAATGTAGGCACTTTCCATTCTTGACGTCGATCAGCAGTGCGTTACGTGCATCTAAACACATAATAACGCTATCAGTAGCAACAATTAAAGCTACACTTGCAACATTGTTGCCTGCAATGAACGTTTCCTCGTTAACAGGCAAAATAAGTTACAATAAATTATAAAGAAATGTAAAAGCGTTCGCGATGGTTATTATCTTGTTTCTAGTTTTAATGTGACAGCAATTTCTTATTTCAGACAGTCAGGTAATATGATCTGCATTACAATATGGTAGGAAAGCATTAAGATGGTAGTCACGCGATCATTAGGCCATAATGCCTCTTTTTTTATTACCTTGTAAGTTAATTATATCGTAATATCGACACTCAATAGCGATTACTGCCGACTATAAGGACACGACTGTAACTTTTAATTCCAGCGCGTATTGCGATTGTGCGGAGGATGAGGTATCCGTGGCAGCGATGCGCAATGGTGTCCAGGCCGGAAACAGTGACCTCAGCGGAAACGATTCGACCATTTATTTGGGAAGGGCGTCCCTCATGGCCAGATCCGGTACTCTACCAGAAAACAGCGTCTCTTTGTATAACTAGTAAGGTTTCCTATTTTGATACTGTCTCATGTTTCAGAAGTAGTCCTTCTCGAAGCAGAGGATCGTGTTTAGCAGCGGCTGCGGAACAACCGGGCTACCTGGAGGACCAAACGGGGTCGGCGTCGGCGTAGGTCCAGGGTTAACGAACGGTGTATTTGGTCTTATGCCTGGTTGTTCATCCGGAATCACCAGCTCCATAAGTTTCGGACGTCTCCCAACCACTTCATCTGGCGCCGGCGTCGATCTGGAACCGGAAGAGAACATCCTCCTGAGGATCTCATGGCGACCTCCACCTTACCATCAAATGGCTGCACTCGGTTATTCTCAATCAGCCCTGCAACTTCATTCCACGGGCTCGACCTGCACGGATGACATGAGATTTTTATATGACTGACGCAGGGAGACTAGGCGTCGAACGCCTATCTTCTACTTCGAGTCGTTTGTTTGATAAGATGGTAATTTGTCTCTACTTACTGTGAAATATCAGTGAAGATATAAAACGGGATGCTGGATTTAAGGAATTCATGAAATTTCTTCCGGTCTCCTCGTTTTTTACATTTTAAAGCTTCGATGTACGATTGCCCATTGCTGTGTCCTATAAAGAGGTATGTGTATATATAGAAATTTTGTCGAGTATTACTTACCCTTATTCTCTTCAAACTAAAAGCTTCTCTTATTACAGTAAAGTCTCGTTACTTAATACGTTGAAATACAAGCTGAAAGAAATATCATCCACGTACTCGTAACAGTGGCGGCGGTTTCCGTTTTTTCGCGCCCGTGATCAGTGACGATGCTCATGTTTTTTCACCCACGGCTTCCCGCAAGCTAGGAGAATGAAAGTTGTGAGAGAGTCCACTGTGTTAACTTTTTTGGACCGGGACAGTCGAACGGGACACGAGATGCGACGCTGTCCTACGCGGAGTCAAGAATTTCCGGAAAATACTTTATTGGAAGAGTCATGATCTTTCGTGGTAAAGAAGTTAACCCTGTATCGCAGAAAGATAGATGAGTGATAAATGACTTTGGAACTTTTGAAAGATTAATTAATTTTCACTCCTGAGGAGATCGAGTCTGCGACAAAGACTACTGAGCTTGTACTTTTGAAACCCTCGCAGGGGGTCTCGATTAGGATTGTCCTTCTGAAGGGGATGAATATTTTGGATGTATGATGACTTACATGTATTAACCACTTAATCGCTTGCGTGCTATTACGTCAAAGTGCGCGCATGTCGGTTTGGTCCACGACCCACTCGAAGTGCTTTGCATACATGTCAGTCTAGTGATTAACTTAGCGTTTGATAAGCGCGAACCCACAGTGCAAAAGTCAGCGGACTGCCTACAAAACGATGGCAGACCTCAGATAGCTGAAGATCTGGGGACGTGATATCCGGTTAAGTGGTTAACGTAACTTCCGCACCGTTTCGAGGCTATTACAAAGAAATGACGTTGATAAAGGGATTATGAGATTAATAATTTCCCAAGTCCGCATCGTTATGTTAATTTCAAAAAATTATTCAGTGGCTTTTGACAATCCGGATTACATTAAAAAATCGAAGGAAAAAGAAAACTTGATAAAATCTGCCATTCCAGAAACTGAAATTTTATGTCCATCTAATACCACGCCCTAGTCATGTTTGACAGACAGTTTTCAAAAACTGCCGACGGTAGATCGGTACACTAATCTTCCTCCACCGCAATTCTGGCAGAAGAAGAAATAACGGGGATGACCACGGTGATGACGTCAGCAACGATACTGATACAAATTGCGCATGAGGAATATAAACAAAATCAGAGTAAACCCTTTCGTCTGATCGATCACCATTCGGTAGGAGAGAAAATTTGACAGAGACCATTCGGGTCGCAGTTTACGAGCGAACCCTTGGCTACTAAGTCCCAAAGGGATAAATTGCTGTTTTACGATTCTATACTAGTGAACTGACGAACCGTAAGCTCATCTCTCTTTATCTCAACGTGGCATCCCTATGAATCAGCCAGTAGTCTGGTCTTCGAAACATCCCTCTTTACGAGCTGTCAGAGTTTTACTCACCGTCTAGGGACCAACGTCAATAGGGTTGAGAGCATTGCTCAAATGTGCGAAGCTTTATATATATACATATATATATATTGTTACGTCCGCGTGGAAAATCGGATCCTACGTACGTGGTCTATGTCGGACTATGGGAAGACTAAACAGTGGGTCTGGTTTTCATCACATAGCGACCCAAAGATATGGTTATTTAATATATAGGTTTTAGGTCTACTGACAATGAGTAGAGCCTAACGGAAATGTTTATAGAAAGCATATTTAGTTTGACTGTTATTGACGTTGTTTATGCGATGCATATGCGGACTCTCCTAACTTTATGACTCAATGACCCTTCCTGGAAAACCCCACTAAAAACTCCTTATTCATTTACAAAGAAGTCATCCTCATCCAA